CTTGTTTCCGTCTTTGGCGTCCATCCAGCTAAGATAAAGAACAAGAGGGAGCCGGGGGAGAAACCAAGCATCCATATCCCTTCGAGCATCTGGCCGAGCGAGAGAGTAAGGAGGATCAAGCGGCTCCATGTGTGCATGAAGCCAAGCGAGCGGAGTAGTTTGTGTGGCTTAGGAATCGATCGAGCAAGGGACCTGCAACTCCCGCGTGTTAGTCGAGTTGAACCGAGCGGCCCTTTACTCTCACGTGCATACCAGAAAAGCGGCTCGAGACTGAGTTTGGATTTTGAACCCATTTGTATAATTGGGTCGGGTTCGGGACAAATCAATAAAGGACGTGTCAATTTTGAGTTGCACTCGAGCCCGTCTCGAAAACCCATTTTGACACCCTTGCTGCACTGCAGCTTATTGACTTGATTGATATAGCTTTCATCACTACTCTTTGACGTCGCAATGTATGAAGCTAATTCCTTCCAAAGCTTTGACCAAATGAAAGACTTTATGATGCAAAAAGGAAGAGAAGACCTCCAAAAATATGTAACCTTCTTATCACTTAAATGGAAAAAATTACATGAAGTGGTCTCAATTTGTGAAGACCTACTTGAAAGGAAATATGAATCACCTCCTTGCGGTAGGGCCAAAAGAAAGAGATCCTAATTTTTGGGCATGGGATTAAAATGACTCCATGATTATGTCATGATTGTGGAATTCTATGACTCCAAAAAATAGTGATACTTTTATGTTCCTATCTATAGCAAAGGACATATGGGATGCCGCCAAGCAAACCTTCTCAAAAGCTCAGGATGCTGCTCAAGTCTTCGAAATTAAGGTCAAGGTGGGAAGCACGAAACAAGGAAGCAAGACATTGACTGAATATGCCACTCTCCTTCAAGGCTTGTGGCAAGAACTTGATCACTACAAATATATAGAGAAGGTGTCCAGAAGATGAAGTTATTTTGGAAGGCTTTATTGAGAAAAAATAGAGTGTATGACTTTCTTGCAGGATTAAATGTGGAGTTTAACTAGGTTAGAGTTCATATCCTTGGCAAGGAGGAGATACCTTCACTAAATGAGACAATCAAAGAGGGTAATACTGGAACTAAAGGCTGTTGAAGATTTAGCAATGGTGACAACCAAAGAGGCACTATGAAAGGAAAGAGGCAAGGATTCCTCATAACCTAAAGATAAAGATTCCCTTTGGTGCAGCAAGGAGGAATAACAAGAACATGGATGAAGTGGGTGATACGATTATAAGTTGCGGGCAAAGGAGGAAAAGTCAACACCAATGTTTAAAATTGCGTATTCGGGTATTGAGGCGTTTTTCATTCGTGAGGCGAGGCGTAAGCCTCAAGGCGTTTTGAGGCGTAAGCACTGTCATCAATAAGGGGTTCTTCATTTGAATCATTATTATGGTGAACTGCTCTCTCCCCTTCCTCCTCTCCTATAGAGTCCAATGTCGGACATTTACTTCAAGATTTATGTAAGTTTTAATATATATAGCGTGAGGCGTAAGCCTCATGCCAGTGAGACGAGGCTGGCCTCAATGCGGGCCTCAACCAAGTTGAGGCGCAAGCCTCATAAAAAAACTCGAGGCGTAAGCATTGAGGCGTTTTTTATTGGAATTGAAGGCGGGCCTCAAGGCGAGCCTCATATTGTGGAAGGGCTTTAAAATGATAAATTAAAAAAAAATAATGATGACTAAAAACTTCAAAAATATATTTTATTAAATCAAGAAATTAAACCAAATTAAATTGGCTTTGAAAGACAATAATTGATCCAATTCAACTCCTTTGTGGCATCACTCCTTTTGATTGGCCTACACAAATTGGATTTTTATGGGCTAAATTAGCTCATAGTACATCACCTATACAATCACTGACACCACAAAATGTGAAAATATTAAATTGAAATAAAATGGACCATTAGGCTTGACTTCAAATCACTATAAAAGAATACAATAAGAAGAACACGCTTACACTTCTTTTAGTGGTTAAAAGCTTGGAGCTCTGCATGATTTCCTTATCATAGAAAAATCTCATTTTGTCAAATGTTGTGCTAGGGTGAAGGCATTTAATCTCCTTTACTGAAGCGCATAAGTTGTCAAATGATGTTGGTCCCACGTCTTAACATGATATCGTTAGAATCCACTATCATAACGCTTGTCTCATTGAAAATATGATCAGAAAAGGATCATATTGTTGGGGAGTTTGGGGGTGAACTAGAATAAAAGTTGACTTTACCACGAATGTGAATGCAAGAAAAGGAGAGAGAGGCTAGTTCATGTCATCAAATTGTGACTCACAATGTAAACTAAAATCAAGCAAATTTAACACTAGAATAAATGCCTAAGAGATCCAAAGAAGGCAAGCTCTATAGTAGCTCGCTGCAGTACGCAGTTAGAATACATCCTTCTTTCAGTCAATTACTAGAGAGCTCCCTTAAAATAGGCAAACCATCAGCATACAACTCTCATGGCATTATTGACATCTATGCAAATTTATAAAAAAATTATAGGTTTTGGAGATAACAAGAAGCTTCTATTGTCAACAAGCAGATCATGGGTATGTTGTGCCAAACATTCAACAAACTCACTAGGCTCAAATGAAGATGGAGATTTATGGGCTGCGTAAACTGATAGAGATTATCAACTTTAAATGAACACATGCAGGTGGGCTTACTAAAAAAACTGCTGTGTGTGAGTTAATCTCAGACGAAACATCCTCATAAACTTAACCAAATTAGAATATCTATGATATTTATTGAATCAGATAAGAGTCATTAAAGTTTATTATTAAGATAATGAGAATAAAGATTTATGCATGCGATCCTGCATAACCAATAATTTCCATATGACAACCAAATAGCAGAGTCAATTTTAGATTTAAAAACACAGCCCCGAAATCCATCTTGCTGGAAGAATGGATAGTAAAAATTACAAATAAAACAACAAAAGGAAGATTGATGCGGACATCGGTACGAAGATTTGGCGCATCTATTACAAGAGGCGTCGCAAATCGACGGCTATAATTTAAATCTCCAATTATGAGTTATTTTTCTGAATTTTAGCTCTTATTTTATGTATTTCCTGTTTTACCCCTAGGTTGGTTTATGTGAGTGTAGTGGCCCAAGGGACAATTATGTATTTTGAGTTTTCTTATGTTGTAGCCTATATATATGGCCTTAAGCTATTGTAATGAGGATGGATGATTGATAAAAAAAAATTGTGTTCCACACTTGTGTTCTTGGGAGAGGACGATAGTGAGATTCCTATGGGAAGGAATCGGAGTTGTCACCAGCCGCAGGATGAGTTCGGGCTCGTGACTTGAAGTCCCTTGGAGAAGGGCAAAGCATCACCCGTCAGTCTTCGGAAGAGTCCAAGGCTCGCGGTTTTTATCGTCTTTCTTTTGTTTTTGTTTTGTTCACTTTTTTGTTCCTAGCCATCGTCTTTTTCTTCCTCCTCCCCACTCAACCACTCGGCTAAACCTCCATACCAAACTCCACAAAATTTCCTCATAGCCGCTAGCCGCCGGCCACCTTCCCCCTTTAGCTCCTCCACCGCCGGTCACCCTTGTTTGTCTCCATGAATGAGGAGTCAATGTCATCTTAAAGCTTACCTAAAGAGTTTAAATAATTTAGGAAATTATTTTCATCGTATGAAATTTAAATTTTGAACTTCAAATAGTTTCCTAAATTAAAAAACTATTTTAGGAAAGTATTGAATCTCATTCATGATGTAATTCAAATTTAATTTGAGTGACTTAATTTTGGGCAGTTTTCAAAATTTCAAATTTAACTAATTTGAAATTTGAATTATTTCCTAATTCATCATTCTATTTTTGGAAAGTTACTAAATGAATTTTATTTGAATTTCAAATTCAAATAGGGTTTAATTATTTCTTTCCTAAACTCCACACCCCAATTAAGTAATCACAATTAAAGCATTAAAACTCCTATTCCCCCCTTGCATGCCGCCGACCCACCTCACCTCCACCTTGGCGTAATTAACCTTTATTCCTTTTGGAAATATTTCAAAATCTGAGAACTGTGTTTGACCGAAAATTCCAACCAGGAATTTCCAATTAATTGTTTCCTAAACTCTAAGTCCCTCCTTTGGAAACAATTTCAATTGCTGTAAATCCTCTTGCTTGGCCGAATTTTCCTCAAGCCCCACCTCTTGATTATTTCTTAAAACCTCCTTCTGAGTTAGGAAATAAATCTTTGGTTTTCCTCTCTCTCATGTACCCGCCACTCTCCCTTTTGGAATTTCTGTTAGAAATCCCTCCTTTGTGCTTGATTTCCCTGTGAGAAAACTTAGGGAATTTTGACCTGCTGCTGGCCGAATTTTCCAAAGCTTCTCTCATTCATCCTTTTCCACTAAACCCTCTCCAAACTCCACCCAACACAGCAGGCCGAAATTTCCCTAGGTTCCCATTTTGGTTTTCTCCCCAACCTCTCTCTTTCCCGTTGGAATACTTCAAGGGAATTAAAGCCACAAGACTTCTCCCTCTAATCCCCCTTGTTATTTTAAAATTCTGAGAACTTCCTTCAGATATTGGAAATAAAATCTGGAACTGCTCTCAGATTTTGGAGAAGTGACCCTTTCTAGAAAATCCTTCCTACCCGTTCTACATCAAAGATCTTTTGTCCCTACGATTCAAAAAAATAATTATTAATATTTTTATAGCAGCAGCAAGCCAACTCAATACAAACCCCTGATACAAAACATTAACGCAGTTCCTGCCCTCTTTTATACAATTTAAAGCTAGATAAGGCAAATGCAAATGATAAAGTGGAACTATGAACTTCATAGAACAAAGTATGCAAACGTATATAATAGACCTATCGCAGCAATCACTGTAGACAATACAACTATCTTAGAATGATATGCCTTAGAGCTCAAGGTAAGATACAATAGAATGAGTAGATATTTAAGCAAAATAACAACTCTACAAGTTAAGCTGGGGATAATAAGAACAGTTAAACATGAAAATAATTCAACTTACTTCAGGAATTTCTTCTGATACACGAATGAGAAACTTTTCAAAACTTCCCAGAACATATCAATCACCGGATGATTCTGCAAATAAAAATCAGATTATTTGCTGATATGTGCGTGCATGACTTGGATGAAGAAAAGTAGGTAGTGATACTGTATATATGAAGATGAAATCCGATGAAAAAAAAATAATGCATTAAATATTTCCAGGAATATTTTACAAGGCAAGAATCCAGATCAAATTGAGCATCTCCATTTTCGCCAAGAATGCTTTTTTCTAGTTGATCTCATTGGAATGACTATGAACAAAGTAATCTTATTGCAACAACTTTGGCCGGCCATGCAAGATAAAAAATAAAACCAGTATGTTTAACGTACAGACTAAATGAGGTGAACATGAAAATGCAATTGAATTTGTTAAAATCCTTGAAGATCGGGTATGAGGTGAATGTTAGACAAATGGCTACAGATATAAATCAATTTAAAGAATTTTTTTTTCAATGATGACATGGACGTTTAAAATAGAGAGCAAATATTTTGAAATTACATGCAAATAAAAAAAAAAGAAGAGAAAAGCACCAAAATGGTCCCTCAACTCTTTGTGAGGGATCAAAATGGCCCCTAACTTTTTTGAGCAACTCCTTAAAAAGGGGCCTTTTGGGTCATAACATTAAATTTTGAGGTTAATGGTGTTAAATCAAGGGGTAATTTGATCATTTTTAATTAAATTATTTATTAAATATAACTTTCAACTAATAGTATTTTTTTAAATTATTAAATATTTCTTTAATAAAAAATTATTAATAATTATAGTCTATAATGATCCTAAATTAAAACTATAATTATTAATAATTTTTTAAATTAAAACTAGAATTATTAATATTTTTTTATTAAAAAAATTAATTTTTTTTAAGTACTATTGCTTGAAAATTACATTTAATAAATAATTTAATTAAAAAATAACTAAAATACCTCTTGATTTAATATTATTAACCTCAAAATTTGATGTTAGAACAAAAAATATCCTTTTTAAAAGAGTTGAGGGACCAAATTGATCTTTCAAAGAGTTGGGGACCATTTTGGTCCCTCACAAAGAGTTGAGGGACCATTTTGATCATTTTCTCTAAAAAAAGCATTAGCATAATGACTTGGAAATCAATGCTGGCTGGTTGTTAGCTAATTAATTTCTAACCATCAGTTTGATTCAGAGCTTATGAATTTATGCAACTGTAACACTTTCTTTGTTCTAAGTGTAAAATCTATCAGTAAGCAAAACCATGAATGCATAAAGGATTTATGCAATTAACTGCCATGAAGCTAAGTAGAAAAGACAAGACACCTGAAACATACACAAGGTGATGGCTGGGTGTGGCGGCTAATGAAAAGAGAGGTTGTGTTTGGTTAGGGAGAGAAAAGGGATGGGAAGAGATGGATCAGAGAGGAGCGATGATGAGGATTTGGTGATGCGGAGCTGTGACCAAGCTTCATTGACTTTCCGCCTTTCTGATCAGTTAACTCCTAGGGTTTCCTCTTTTAGCGTCAATCCCTCCTGTAACTTTTATTATTCAAGACAAGTGTCCACTCCAATGACTTTCATCAATTATGTCGACCAAGTTTTAGCAGTTTTTATTACTTGCGACAACTTTGAGTAATTCATTTTAGGATATCTTGCACCGGCAAATTCTATATTTAGAGGCATTTATTTGTAAGGAGATGAGAGAAATGTAGCTTTTGTTCTGCTTCCGGTGCCATAAGAATCATAAACCTTCACAGAATCTGGGTCATGTAAGATGAGGTGCTAACCCATTAGGAGGATCCAAAATCATTACTCTTGCAAGAAAATGCGGGGTGACAATGGCATCCTTGGGCTTAGGATAGAAAGGAAAGGCACCAGGCCGTGATTTCATGATAAAATCTAGAGGTGATTCCAAATTTTATGTGCAACCTAATCTAAAGCAGGAGGAAGTACAACCACCATATTTTTGAAAATATATTTTGATCATTTGTATCCTCCCCTTTCTTCCTAAATGTAAGAATCAATGAACATAGTTTTTTCAATTCTAAGCGAGCCTTGAAACATTAAGAGTAGCTGTGTCTAAAAAACTTTCACCAGTGAGTATAGATGAATGTCATGAAAATTACAAAATTATTTATTTGGATCACCTAGCTTGTAGCCCTAGTGCAAGTGAATATAGATGAGTGTCAATAGATTTTTTTTTTTTTTAATTCCTACCCTTCTAGTATAAAAAATATAAAATCTCTTATCCACCAGAGAGTCAAAAATCTGAATGCTCTAATCCAAATCAAATAGTTGATATATTATTATGGTTGTGTTCATAAATATGATAGAGTTGAGGTGTTTCAAGAACTTAAGCATTGTTTTCAGTGATAATCAACATATGATGACGTGACTACACCAATGGGGTAGGAACATCAGCCACTATCTCCATAAGAGAGTTAGAAACCGAGTGACAGACCTGAACTAATGAGATAGGATTTTCCTTAACTGGATAGTAGGTTGACATGAGCTTCTAGTGGAAGGTCATGTGCTTGATATTTAAAATTCCTCAGCTCAAGATAAGCCTTGAAATAGCTGAGAATTTTGATGTGATATAAACAAGAATTGCACGGAAATATTTAAAAGGATTACAAAGCTTGCAACTTAAGAAGAAGGTTTCGTAGGATTAGATTAGAGAACTTTCAATCGTCATTCTTATTGTAGTAAGCAGTTACAATTCAAAAGTTTAAGGCAAGTTAAGATAGCTCCGAAATTATCACAGAAAAAACAAACATGTTGTAATACAATCCCACGGTTAATATTTAGAAAGTTCACTAGGAGTTACCATGCTCACTCACACTCAAAGTATGGCTTAGCGGAGAAGGGTCTTCAGCACACCCAACGATGCCACGAGGACGGTCACAACGCCAATGGTCTTTATCCACGGAAAGGTCGGCGGTGGTGGAGAGGTAGCCGCGGACGGGGCAGGTGTATATCTCCCAACGAGAAGCCAAGGCGTCTTAGGCTTTTGAAGATCGATCGTATGTGCCAAGCAAAAGAGGATGCGCTTGATGTACCTTTCCTCCGTCTCGTCGTATTCCCAATCGGGTTCGTAGAAAGGAGAGAGAAGAAAGTCAATCTCCCCACGTTCGTTGTAAGCAAACCCGTGATCAACCTCGGGATCGGCCATTCGACATTGAAGGGATGGTGAGAGGACATCGTCTTCTTCTTTTGGCTTCAAAACTTCCAAGGGAGGGAGCAAGGAGAGGGGCGGCCAAAGTGAAGAGAGAGGGGGCGGGCGGTTTGGGTGAGATGGTTTAGGTTAGATGGGGGAGGAAGAGATTTACTCCAAATATGAAATTAATTTCAGATTTTGAGTAATTTTGAAGGGAATCAATTTGAAATTGATCTCAAATTTCAAATAGAATATAGGGGAATTAATGGCATTTAGTGGGACCCATCAAGAAGGGGGGGCCGGCGGGTTCTAGAGAGAGGGGAGGGGAGTTATTTCCAATCCTGAAATTAATTTCAAGATTTGAATGAAAATGGGGGAAAATTAATTTGAAATTTGATTTCAAATTAAGGGGTCATTAATGCCTTGATTGGAGAATTGATGGGAGGGGGCCATGCATGAGGCCGGCGGCAAGTAGAGAGGGGGGAGAGGGATTATGAGAATTTATTTTCTTTCCAATCAAGAATGGACAACGAGGCGGGGAACTAAAGACTCCGCCAAATTTGAATTTCAAATAGATTTGAAATTAAAAACTTTCCTTATTTAGATTTTGCAAATAAGGAAAGTTTTTGAATTTTGAAATTTGAATTTCAAAACTCACAAATTCCCTCTTGAATGCTTGATCCAAATTTGGAAATCATTATGAGGATTGAAATCATCATAACGATCGGCGACAGAGCAGGTGGCCGGCGGTAAAAGGGAAAGAGTTGCCGCCGGGTTGATGTGGGCTTGGGTGGCGGTGGGATTTGGAAGGGGAAGAGGGTGTTGGTGGAGAGGGGAGGGAGGATGAGGGAAAACACAAATAAGATAAAAATAAAATTAACCACGAGCCGCGGACTCTTCCAACAATTGGTGGGCCTTGCAATTGCTCGCCTTGAGCTCTCTCTCTCCCTTCTCTAGTGCACACACAAGAAGAAGAAGATAAACATAAAATTTTCATTCAAATATTCATTATTCAATACATAAGAGAATGACCATATATATAAGCCTCACAATGACAAATAAAACAAAAGACTAGAATGCCCCTTGGGCTATAATAGTGACCAACTACCCATAAGAGAAAAAACGGAAAACTGAGAAAAATAAAATAACTAATACATAAGAAGCATCAAAAGTAAAGACTCTCCATCATGGCCATCGATCTCCTGTGTCGCCTCTGATAGACACGTCGAAACCTCGTATCGATGACCCCATCAAATTTATTCCCAAATAAATGACAAGAGGAGCAGTATGATAAGAATTTTTCAAATTCAACCCTTTCACAATACCTAGACGATGGGAACCCAATCTACACATCTTTATGAAAATGGAATTTAACATTTGATTCTATCAAAACTCTACCCACAAATAGCTTAGAAAGATAGGGCAATTATAGCATCCACATGTAAAGGTTTTCCAAAAATATAAGCCAAGGAGAATAAGGTAGACTGCAAGTAATACAAACGAAGTCATGGAAATAAGATCCAAATAAGAGTGACAGAGTTCTATAGAGTGATAAAAATGAGGGGACTATTTTAGCATGCACAATGTGAATAGTGATATAGTATGAGCATCATGAGAAAAGTCTAGTGTGTTTCTAAAGAAAATCTTATGACGATATGCTAAGGGTCCTATGCAAGGGTGAAGGCACACTTAAAATTATTGATCATGAAATTAAAATATGCCCCAAACTTAATCACAACTACGTAAAATACAGAGACTAAAAAATGAAATTGAGTTTAGGTTCACAAACAGTCTTCATAAAGATACTCCATTACGGAGCGCTCATGTATCACGGCATTCTACTTCTTCGGTTTGAATTGAGGATTAAATTTCAATATAGGCTCATTTAGGAAAGAATGGTATGATTCTAAGAAAAAAATGTATTACATACACTCAATTGAAAAAGAAATTTAAATGCAAGTTTTGGTGAAATCGCAGGAATGTTTTTTCAAATGGTCTTCCATGTAATCTTGCAAGAAATTCTCAATATAACAATGCATTTGTTTTTCCATGTAAAAATAACCTTTCAGGTTATGCGCCACAAGAATATAATGATATTCTATCAAAATTATTACAAAAGAAGATATCCAATATTTTGAAAAACTACTTAACCTACAAAAGAAACAGGAAAAGAAAAGTGAGTGAGATTGATATGTGATGGATGGATTGATTCTCAAAGAAAACTTTTGATTAGTTTTACAGCTATATCAAAAAATTATTCTACAATTATTAGAGATATAAAGATGGATTCTTTATTCCTAACTTTATTAAAGAATTGATAATTGAGGGTGACCCTTCACCTTTTATTCAAGTAATTACTTATAATGGTCTAGTTATAGGGTAGCAGATTTGCTTGATGAACAGATACATCCGCATGTTATTTTGGACATCTTTTATTGTGCATAGGCTTATCCTTGTTTTAAAAAATATTTGTTATGCCAAAAATTCTGATGCTAATGTGATCAGTTATATTAAATCTCTACAGTTGTTAAAGATGCTGTCATGATAATAATATTTAATATGAATCATTCTATGAGACTTTATATTTTCAATGATTTTCAAACATTGAAAATGCTTGCTATGATTAAAGTTCATTTGCTTCAATAATAGTGATACAAAGAAAATTTAAAATAATAAAAAATGCACTTTTAACAATGATGATTAGTGAGAAATAGTGACAATATCATGAAAATGATGTTGGAAAGGCAAGATTTGTGAAAAAAAAAATTGTGGATGATCTTTGGTAGGATAACGTTGTTTATACTCTTTCTTTTACTCAACCTATTTGTAATACGCTTAGACTTGCCGATACAAGCCTAATTTGCATTTGATTTATGAGATTGTGATTCAATGCTACCAAAAGTGAATGAAGAAAATTATAGTAATGAAAAATGTTAAATCATGAGGATTCAAGCTTTTGGACTATTGTTTGTATTATTTTGGTGGATAGGTGGACCAAAAGTAACACCCCTCTACATTTCTTGGCTTATTCTTTAAAGCCAAGGAATATTATATTTTATATTTTGTAATATTTTCTTATTAAACAAAATATATTTATTACCTTAATTTATTTTATGTGCTTGATATTTCTTGAAGATATTTGAGTAAAGAATGACAAGAATCCTTCAGGCGTTTCTCCTAAAAAATATTTAGAAATTTCAATATTTGTCAGAAATGTTACTTTTCAAAGGAGGAGGAAAATAATGTATGTGAAACTAGCAAAATTCTTTAGATATCAAGATGAATTTGGAGACTAATTATCATTGTGTGATAGGTGAAAAATAGATCCAAAGATGTAGCAGCTAATTATTTGGTCAAGTTTATTCCTTATCTTATTGTGAGAAAAATTGGAGCACATACTCATTCATGAGATAAATTAAAAGGAACATAATCATTCCACAATATGTTTAAGATTTAATTTATATGAATACTAATCTACATCTTCTATACAGAAAGACCCCAATATATAGAAGGTGAGAATAAGATGCAGCATATTGTTGGAGATGGATTTGAGTCCTTATTGATATGATAGATTAAAGACTAAAATTTTTTTTCTGTGAAACAAAATCTGAAGAAGTGCTAATTATTTAGTGATCAAGCATTGGAGGTCAAAGATAAATGCACGACAAAGAAAACACTCCAACTATTCCTTCTAGACAATTACTGCTTACTTTTTAAATGCCACATTCTAAAAGACTATTGATGACTCATTATTTTGAAAGGTAATATTAGAATTTGATTACTTAATATTTTTCTTATTTTCTTACTCTTTCTTTACGCGCTACCGTGGTTTATGAAAAGCATGAGAATCTTTTAATCTTTTTTTTTTTTTTGCATCCAATGATTTTTTGCATACTTATAATTTTAAAATTTGATGATTCATCTTATGTCTATTTAATGAGAAAATGATCAAAATAGTCCCTCAACTCTTTGTGAGGGACCAATATGATCTCCAAATATTTTGAGGGACCAATTTGATCCCTCAACTCCTCCAAATGAGACATTTTTTATCCTGCCATTTAATGCTAGAGTTGATGGTGTTAAGTATGAGAATAATTGGATAATTTGGTCTTTTTAATTAAAATATTTCATAAATGTAATATTAAAATTTTCTTTAATAAAAAAATATAAATAATTTTAGTTTAAATAATTTCAAAAATTTTAGTTTTAATATACTTGTCTCAGTAACTCTTAGGGGCCGTTTGGAAAAAGTAGGATTTAACTTTAGAATTTTATTAATTATTTAAGTATTATTTAGTTAGTTATAAGAATAAATTATATTATTAATTATCTTATTAATAACTTAAGAATTCTACTAGCCGCTTCTTCGACTCCTTCGTTGCTGTTCGAGTTCACCCCTTCGAAAACGTTCCATTTCTGTTGGATCAGAAGTTACTACATTTTGATCGGAAGAAATGACGGGAGCTCACTCACTGTGAAGGTAGCTTTCTCCCTTTCGCACGCTTCTTCGGCCAAATTCGTTAAATCATCCAAACTACAGGATTTAGTAAATCCACAATTTAAAGCAAAAAGAGTGAAACAGAGGATTTATTTCGCCGTGAGATTTATGGGGCGCTCTAATCCCGTTTGGTAAGATTTAGCATAAATCCTGCTCAAATCATGCATAAATCCTGTTGCCAAACAACCCCTAAGCTTGAGAGAAGTGGACAAGTTAGATGAGTTGAACGGGGGAAAATCTATTGCTAAGTCCTTCAAGGCTGTGATCAACGGACGTCGGGGAAGGACTGCAGGATCAACGTTGCAAGACTGCGGGGTCGACACGATCACTACTCTGGTGATGGACTGTGGGATCGACGTTGCAAGTTTCGATCAATGTTGCGATATTTAAAAATCGACGCGACGAGCTGCGAGACATTGCGGGTTGTGGTTGCAGTGGAGGCTGCTACGCAACGGGCCGCTACTCTGCGCTATGGGATGTTGAATTTACCCTTGGGCTTGTTTGCTCGGTTGCTGGGGTCGAAGAAGGGTTTGGTTGTGCCTTGAGGATTTGCTAATACGATGCTCTGTGTTGCAGAACGATCTCTTAAAACACTTTGCTTATTTCGATAATACCCTCACACCTATCTCACTTTTTCATATAAAATTGACGGCATGACCAAACAAGTCCCATTTGGAGGAGTTGAGGGACCAAATTGGTCCCTCAGATTAATTATGGATCATTTTGGTCCCTCACAAAGAGTTGAGGGACCATTTGGTCCTATTCTCTTTATTCAATTTATATAATTTGTATACATTATTTTTAATTTAAGATACATAAATTATAATATTATGTTAAATATGGTTCCATCTCCTACATTTTTCTAAATAAGCATGTCTTGCGCTCATGTCATATCTTGTTTCATATCCACATCACATCATTGAATCATAGATTAGAAATAATAATAGTTGAGGTCCTACAAAATTTACATAATTGTATTATCCTTTTGGCAATCCATATTAGAAATGAATCAGAAACTTTAGTTCACAAGTGGAGAGTAGTGAGGAAGCAAAAGAAAAATCACTAGTGAAAAAAATCCAAAGGTTTGCAAGAAGAATATATTATTTGATCTTTATACAATTCGAGTGTAGATCATCCACTACAGTGTGTGAATCATCCTTATGAATATTTTACATTTTACTCTTTTGTTTAAAGAGAAAAGAGTTTATCAAGCTTATCAATGTTGATTCAAGTTAGGATGCAAATCGGACAAAAATACAATAGAAAGAACGTTCGACAAACTAAAATGATACCACTATATGTAGCAAACAGAATGCACTCACAAGATTTTAAGAAATATGGATCTAAACCAAATAATAACAAATAAATACATTAATAGATAAAATGAATAATTGAAATTAACTTACTTGATCGTAGCCACCTGAATAATGAGCATGAGAACGTAGATCATCCATATCAAAGTTCTCAAGGGAACCTGATATGAGAATCTGAAAAAAAAATTGCTATTAGGTGCCTATATAATATTTCTAATAAGAAAACGATTTAGGTCACAGAACAAATGTTGTAGTTAAAAGTTAAACTTTGATCTCCTCTGGAGCTACAAGAAAATCAACAACTAATGCTCACACCACCAATAAATATATGCCAAAAAGAACAAGCGAATTCAGCCAGAAAAGAAACGTTGCATAAAACCAATCACAAATTAATGGAGGTCATCAGCATTTAAAAAAGGAGAACCATTTAGATTTGAAATATTTAATTGGAACTTTTACTTCGAAAGTAATAAAAAGGCTGAATGCCTACATCGAATCCAAAATAGACCACGAAATAACTCAAAAAATCTTCTCATTAGCGAGAAATTTGTTAAGAATAGTTGCCTATGAACAAATTTAAATTGGAAGCTAGAAAACAAAACATTCAGTTTAAATGTCACTAAATTTGGTTAACATAAAATATTTGGCAGCATTCTATATAAATACTAGTCAATTCAATTTTGAAATGAACTTAATGCAATGGTAACTAATCTACAAGTCTTTCCCTACGCCTACTAAGAGGGATTTTTAAATTTTCTTTAAGGAATTTATCCAAACACAGTGATGGAATTTCGAAAACTTTTATGGAACAGAATTATGAATTCCATTTGCATTCAATCCTATTGAGTGCTAAACAGTGCTAAACAGTGCTAACATTAAGTTCCGTATGTCTATTTTCTTAACTTCTAATTCTATTCCCTCCGACCTGCCTCTCCTTTTACTATTTTGTTCGCTTCAATTCGATCTCAACTTATAAGTGCATCTTCTTTTTTTTCATTGCATATATACTATATAATCAAATCACCAAAATTTAATTTCTCTAACCTTTTATCTTCAATGAGATGCCATATTTTTTTACAATTTGAGCATGTATTAAAACAATTCACCTATACGTTGAATATTCATTGTCTTCTACATCAATGTAACATTCTATCAAGTTTTCTCTCACCATCTTTCTATTATCCCACCATAACAGAACTACTTGTCAGGTTCACGTTATTAGGAATAAACAACAAAAGTTTTAGTCTAGTACAAGCAAACAAAAGTTGTTGAAGGCTACAAATACCTGGATTTCATGCTCGCTGAACATTTCAATCCATTCTTTCTCTATAAGTTGCTGAAATCCACGCAAAAAATGTGAACTTTGATGCCGAATCTACAAATAAAAGAAAGCTAAAGTTATAGCATATCTGAAAATAAGTTGACCTAGTAAAATAATTAGAATTTCATTTAAATAGACCTGATAATTTAACCGATGATTAGCTATGAGATGAATGTATGTGATAACATTTTCCTTTGTAACGTGAATATCTTTTCCTCCAAGGAGTAACTCTTCTTCTTTTTGTTCCCCATATTCGTTATTTATAATAACAAAATAAAGTTCCAACTCTGAAACATCGCCTTGATAATGCTGCAAATATAACAATTTTGAAAGCATGAATATAAATGACATCATATAAGCACAATGAAATTATGATGCACATGAACAGACAATTTAATCCGCAATAACAAATTATAGAGGATTCACTAAGCCACTGCATATGTATCCATATTGATAGTGCATACACATTATCCCTAAGATTATTTGGTTCATTTCACAGTGGAATAAATCTTGATATAAACTCCGACACTTTTAAGTATATAACTAAAGTAGACGACTATTACACATAGAAAACAACATCTTAAACTACTGCACATGCCAACATCGCTAATATCATTCTATGATGAGTATCCTTGCATGCATTGACGTTATAAGTACATCAACATGCATAAACATTAACCAATGACCATTTGCTGAAACGAACAACTTTAAATCTCCATCTTACTTGCTATGAAGAAAGGCATAAGATAATTTACTTACCAACTAATACAATTTTTCAATCCCTTTATTTATTCTCCATGTTTCATCATTTCATTTTGTCTCCCTCTACTATTTTTATCCAAGACATCCAGAACTAGTCAATCTTAACTGGGAAACAAAATGGATATTGAAATGAGGACTCAAGCTGAGGACATCAAATTTTGACATGTGTACCGTCGTCGAAGACGTAGATCAACGGCTACGATCCAAAGCCTTTACTTTTGATATATATTGTATTTTATTTATTCTTGCATTTCCTATTTTTTTTTTCTAGTTTACCCCTGTGGGTATTGAGTCGCTATTATAGCCCTGAGGGCATTTGTGTCTTTTTGGTCTTGTTTCATTTTAGCCTATTTATAGGAGGCCTCTTGCATTGTAATGGATGATGATGAAATGAAATTTTATGTTCTTTGTTTGATCTCTAAGTGAGTTCATGAGAGGAGAAGCGCAAGGAAGGTGACAGCAAGACCCATCAATCGTTGGTAGATTCCAAGGTTCGCGGCCCGATCTCTTTTCTTTCCCAACCTTCAATTCTTCCCCAATCAACAACCCGCCGAACTCCCTAACCAAAGCACCCCTTTTTTTTCTCCCCAAAACCGAGCCCCTTCCCCCATCTCGTCGGCCTCCTTGGCCACCCCACCCGCTGGCTCCCCTCCTCCACCCTCCCTTCCTTATTTCAACCGCCGGCCCCCCTTCCCACTTGATTTCAAATTTGAAATTCAAAGAGAGCTCCAAAGTTTCCAAATTTGACAAAAGCCAAATTATGAAAGTTTCCAATGACATTCAATTTAATTTTAAATTAAATTGGATTTGAATTCCTCATCCATAATTTGTCGAGACGGATTAGGAAACCCATAACTCACTCCCCAATCCCCTCCCTCCTCTCTTAATGCCGCCGGCCTATAGAGGGGGATCCAAATTTCGGTTTCCCTCTTAATTCCCCATCCCCACTTGGACTTTGAAATACAAACCCAAATATTTTCCCTCCGAATTCACTTAATCTGAAATTAATTTCAGATTTCTCTTAATTTCTTCAAACCCTAACCTAGACCTAGCCGCCCCCTCCCCTCTCCACCTCCTCCCATCCGAGATCTCCCTTAACCCCCTCCTCCTCTTGGCTAATTCTCCTAGGTGTCGGCTCCTCCACCATACACCACCACGACGCCAGATCCTCCATGATCATGCATGGACAATCCGGAGCTTGATCACGGATTTGTGTTCAACTCTCAAGAGGAGATCGACGTCATCCAATCACCGTTCTTCAACGTCCGATTTGGATTCGACCACACCGTTGAAGAATACCTCGATCGTATTTTTTTCCACCTAGCGGACGTCATCAACGAGCAACGACCTACGGGAGAGTGGACAATCACCGGACGCCCACCTGCAGCCAACTCCGACTCCTTCCCTGGCGACTAGTCCCCTTGGCATCAGGTGTCTATCCCTAAGTTTGTGTGCAATCATCTTCCGCTAAGCCGAGCAATATCAAGAGTGTAAGTGAATGATCCGAAGGTGAATGATCTAAATTTTAAACGGTGGATTTTGTTAATGTGCCATTTGCTCACTTATTTATTTGTTAATGTAATTTTGCAAGTCTCATATTGCTCTAGATTGCAATCAATTGTCGTTCCTTAGCTTTCTGTAAAATTTTCTATAGATGTATCTTGAAACCATATTCGTTTATGTTTAACTACGCCAAGTTCACAATTTATTAATTTTTGAATACACAATTCTTGTTTCATCTTCATTGTATTACATCATATTTGGTATTAGAGCATGGCTAGCATAGGCTATGCATGCTAGAAGTCATCCACCTAAGCATCCTCATCTCTGCAACACTTATCAATAGTGAAGGCTATGCATTCTGTATCTAATAGTGAAGCCACTCATCCAACTAAGCATCCTCATCTCTGCAACACTTATCAAAATTTTGTGAAAAAAAAAAAAAAAACATTGTAGAGATCAATAAAAAATGAAATTAAGCATTATCGGAAGAAATGCAAGTATGATGTATAAGCAACAAAAAATAGTTTCCAGGCTGTTGCTTCTCAACACATAACATGAATTCATTAAACGTAAGATGCAGTGTCTAACTAATATCATAGAAATTGCAGCTAGTGACAGCCTTGAGAAGGAGTTAATCATGTTCAGAGTAAATGAAAAAAAAAATAAAAAAAGAATAAAGAGATCATTTAAAAAAATCACCTTTAGAAAGAGAAGATGGCGATACAATTCCGGATCAAGTGAAGGCAAGTCATTCAAATAGTTGTGCCTAATATGACAGAAAGTTCAGTAGTTAACAAAAATGAAACAGCATGCATCATAAACAATCTAACTAGATGCTTAATCATGAATCTAACGATTTAATTACTCAAGTGAAAACAATCAGGCATTGCACTTGAATCAGAAAATATTTGATTAAATGTTAGGCAAACATTCAGCACTCTTACTAAGAATGTATCCTAATCGGTACATACATATAGTAACATTAAAAAAAAAAAAAGAACACCTCTCTCTCTCTCTCTCTCCCCCCCCGCCCCTGATAACATCATTTTAGAAGGATCCTAACACATTTTCGAATGATTGTGAGTTAAATTAGCTCATTCTCCTTTTTTAATTACTTGAAATTTATTTTAAATCTCGGTCAATAAAAAATGTGGATGAAATTTATAAGATATAAAATGCTTGAAAAGAATAATCTTTCTCTCAGTAAAAAAAAAAGGGTCGGGGAGTTGTTCCTTGCGATTCTGCTGCTGCATTTAGCTTAACGTAAAATATGCTCCTCATTAAAGCAAACATGCTTTCTCAAAAAATTTTGGTCCTAACAATAACCTACCAGTTTATCCTCCATACAGGAATAGTTCTGGTGCCGCATTTAGCTTACGGTAAAACATGCTCCTCATTAAAGCAAACATGCTTTCTCAAAAAAAATTGTAATCCTAACAGTAACCTACCCATTTATCCACCCCACATCGATAGGATCACAAACTAAAGTGTTGCTAAACTTACAGCAAACGTGTACTCATCATTACACACCGCCCAACCCAAATCCAACTAATTTAGAGAACAAAATCAGCACACCTTCAACAACATCAGTTAATAAGATTTTAGTCCTTAAATGATTAATGTACTTATCAACCACTAATAAAATGTAGAACTCCTGACATAAAATTTGTAAATAGTTACCATCAAATCCTTTAGGGTTGACAAACATGTCCTTCAGAAATTGTTGATGACAGTAATAATTTAAGAAATTAGGAGAGATTACTGGAGCTCTTTAGGTGACATACATGAGTCATCCGAATGTGGAAGATCAAACCAACAAACAAAGTATCATTGTTGGCTGAAAGAACAACAAATTTCATCGGAGATTATCAGTACAGTTTCTCATGACGTTGGAACAAATTGTAGATCATGCATAGGTATTTGTTATATGATGCTTAAGGGTGTAGGATTTACTAAAGATGTCTAAGATAAGATAACAATGAGAACCAAAAAAATATATATAATTAACAGCTAACAAACTTTTCATTTTAGCAACGGCAAGGGTTACGACTACGGTTTCACAACAACGTCGGATTTCACCTCACCATTTCAAAATCATCTCAATATCAAAGCTTGATGATACCTTGACATTGGCGCTCAACTCCAGCAATTTTTACACCAACAATCACATCCCCATGTCATCTCGACATCTCATATATGTCCAACGGCATCTCATCAATGATTGACGCCATCTACATCTTAATGATAGACATTGTCTCGACATTGATGCCCAATTCCCTATGCCCATAGCACAACATCAATGCTCGACTCTCAACAATATTATCATCTCTCCTCTCGACGCCTAACGCCTGATGTATGCACCCGACTATGGACATCCTAACATTAATCAATTAAAATACAAATCCTAGTTAATTGACTTATTATTTTCTCAATTATTCCTAAAGTTTGCTTATTCAATTTATATACACTATTTTTAAGATATAAAAAATATGATATCATGCCCAAACTGTATCTGTATTCTATAATTCAATAATTGATGTGTCTCATATCCGTGTCGTGATATGCCCGTATTTATGCATTACAGCTACCCACACTTGTCCAAAACAAGTTTCCATTCAATCTTATCCATCATATTCCAAGAAAATCTTCAAGATTAGGGATCATCATCATCATAATTAGCCCTATCCCAATGGTTGGCGGCCAACCTTATGAATTCAATATACCCACGTGTTTCTGTTGAGCGTTTGTTATACGAGGCACTAAGCCAATTCTTCACAAATTCTTTTGAACGACTGTGGGCCAACAAAAAAATCAAAATGAAGTTCAAAATTAGAAACGATAACTACTGATGAATTCTAGGCATAACCACTATCATTATCCCAACTAATTATGACTAGCATTGTAAATTCTCCACCATTCATTGTTGTTTAATGCTACATAAGAAGTCGGACTTATTTGGCACCACAAATGCTTCAACATCATGTCTAGACAGCTATTTTGTTGGTTTATGTTCTTCTTTGTGTAGTACATATTTAAATTACAGGCCTATTCTCACGTATTATTTTAACTACAGGCTACTTCCATCATATCTTTAATATGATCATTTCTCACTTTATATTTAAAGTTTTACCAAATATCCAGCTTATCACACTTGGCCACATCAAATTGAATGTTAAGAACTTTTGCGTTGCCCTTCTAGTGTTTTTGGTCTGAATCCCATATAAAAACTCGAGGGTTTATCTTTAAGTTGACATCTAATCATAAAAGCTAAGCCAAAATCAATAAACTAATTCCTATATTGATGTTTGCATCAGTGAGACTAGAGACGAACATAATTAGACAAGAGCAAGATGCGATAATTTGCTTAAATGTTCATTCAACTCTTAAAAATGAGTAGTTAAGAAAATTAAAAAAAATACTTAAAAATTTTGCGAGCAGACGAAGGAATACCTTCATTTCCAACAAATTTGAAGACAAACAACTTATGAAAAAGAAATGAAATGGTAAAATTGTCCGACTAAAGAGAAATTCAACCTTACTTTTGTTTCAATTTGCTGAGGAAGAATGTCGCAAATGGTATGTCTACAAGAATACCTTCATACATTGCCTACAGAAAAAACACAAAACAACATCAATATCTAAATAATTCACCCCATCAAGTTTATAAAAGCAAAACATACAACAAACAACGAAAACAAAGAGAAGCAACAAAGTACCAAAAAATTTTGATAATGCCCAAAGAAAGTTCATCAAGCATTCACAGTTGAAAGCAATGAGTAACAGTAACAAAAAGAAAGATGTGCTGAAAACCATACAAACTAAAAGCAATGTTAAATAATGTGCACATTACCTCTTATAATGTCCGTTAGTCATTATAGAAAGAGTAGTTTGCTTCACGCTTCAATATGAATTGAATTTCAACCATTAAAAAAAGAGAAACGACATACTTCATTATCAAAGTGATGTATAACGGAGTGGGGATTAAAAATTAAAAAAAAAATCATAAATTCAATTTCAAATTTCCCTTAATTAAGAGATTTGAATTTGAAATCCAAATAAGATGGAGGGAAGGATAAATATGTGGTTAATTACTCCCCTAATTAAATTCCTTAATAAGGAAGGAAATAATTAACATAGGGGAGAGAGAGGGGCCGACCTAATGAGGAGGGGAAAGAAAAGGTGTCCACATACAATGTATGTGAACCCATGCAGCAATGGGAGATTGGAGAGTTAATTCTGAAATAATTTCAGATTTAATATGATTGGAGTCTTGTATTGCCTATATTTGGAGTCTTGTATTGCCTATATTTCCATTACACCGTTCGCTCCTCTACTCCAAAATTTGACTTCTCACATTCTTGTAGTGGATGATGATGGGGCTTCTATTATCTACTCCTCGTCGTTTACTCTCACGGATGTTAATGGTCCATCAAATCTAATCTATTTGCTTAACCATGTTGCAATTGCTTCTCTTATCAATCCTATCATTCCCATGTTTTATTTTGGTGATATTGTTAGCGGGAAGGGTTCTTTGTAGTTGAAGCCATATCTCTAATTTCCATTTTTTTCATTTAGCATGTCTCGGATTCTATGCAACACAATCCACCCACAACCTTTCATGATAAACCCACCTCATTTTTAAGGAAGAGATTTCTACTTTGATATAACCAGCTTCTTACACTTTGGTTGGTAAACTTGCCTTCGTCCAAGTGAGTTTGGAGATTGTTCATACTTTCATATTTGATTTATGTTTAATTGTTGACTGCTCTGTTGGAGTTCTTAATCGCAGTCATCTGCTTATCAAACTATATTTAAAAATTGATTATTTAAGGCCATTTCCTTGTCATTCATACTATGGGAATGGCCTCCTGATGAGTATGCTGAAGTGGTCTCCGTATTTTGATACCTCTGAAAAGCCAATTATTACGATGACCACTTATTTAGACCACTTCAACATACACATAAGAAAATTACTCATCTCCCGATGTGTATGAACCACTTCAACATATACATCAAAAAATTACTCATATCTCCCAATGTGTATGCTGAAGTGGTCTCTTGATGCTAAGTCCCCTAAATTGGAGGGACAAAAGATCTAATTTTGTAATATTTTCAATTGTTTTGCATTCAGAGGTCTAAAATATCATAATATTGATTTAACTAAAAAAACATCATAACATAGTTGCTGCACATGGCAATAGAAAACACACTTCAAGGGCAGCTTGCCAACTCCGTGTGAAAAGTAGGGACTAAATTACTCACTAAATAGCAAAGCCACAAGTCAAATAAAACAAAATTAATAATAAAAGCATCGCAAAAACAAAGCTCAAGACTTCATGCACATAATTTTCCAGCAACTTCTAGCAACCAACATTTCCAATACAACCACAAGCATTATTTTTTATCTCTAATCCAAAAGAACACGAATTGAATTTATTTCAGAAGGGGGCATAAAAAACAAAGCACATTAGAAAAATTAGAGGGATAACTTGCCCTTCACCAAGCATGTTTTGTATGATCGGTTGTAGGAACTATGTATCCCAATACCTTTCCAAGTAGGCTTCCAAGAAAGTCAAAATATTGTAGGTGCTGCTCATGAATCACTCCTGATCCAGGATTTGGATATAAAAGGTGATCACTAGTTTCCTATGGGAAAGAACAAAAGCAAATGGTTCAGAAGATAAACACAAAAAAGAAAATAATTAACATGAATCAACAACTGAAACATTAAAGTTATTTCAATGCCAGCTGCAAACACTTTCTTCAGTTAAAAAAGACATATATAAATACAATTATTTTTAAACAAAAAAAAAGTATATCATTCTACTATAAAGCAATATCAAATGACCTTAGAATTTTTCAGAAACTTGTAAATATTGTAAAACATCAAGAAAAACCTAAGAATAAAAAGGTATACAGAAGGCAGAACACGATTGATATGCACTCATCGCCATGCAACACACAACAACCAAGAACATCTGTATAATCTCACAAATTCACAAATTGGATATTTGCCCTATGCAATATTAGGAGGATTCATTAGAAAGGTATAAGTCCTACTCATCAAAGTAATGCTTTGGTTCATTTAAATGCTTTTCTTGAAGGCGTTTCTCTTTAATCTACCAAGGATGAGCCCATTTGGAACATGTGGGCGATAAACTCTGTTAAATCTCACTATTCTTTTCTTATGAAAGGTCATATTAGCTATATGACTTCAGTTTGAATCTAAAAATCTAGTGCCTCTTTCAAAGTTTCTATTCTTAGTTGGTTTACTTATTTAATGAAAATTTGAATATATATCTTCACAAATCGAGGATTATCTCTTCTACTGCATGAAAAATGACAGTCAACTTTTCTTTCAATTGTTGGGGAATTAGTAAAGGGAAGACTCTTGAACATGTTCGAAGTCAACAACTACTTTAGTAGCATCCAAATTTTTGTGGTGCATGGGAAAAAAAAAATCATAAAGGTCATTGGGATACATACTTCTTAAGAACTATTTGGTCAATCTTAGGGGAAATAAACAAAGCTTTGTCACAACAAAATATTAATAGACAAAGTACTTAGATACAACATGACTACATCAGATATCTTTTGGTTTCTTTTTCTCATTGCGTTAAGGTTGTTAATATCAATAGGGATAAGATGAATTTAGGTTTCCTCAATCATTCAATAGAATTTTAACATGATAGACTCATAACAATCAGCTAAACCGATTCAGTCAAACTTATCCAATTGAGCTAACTAAGGGTGGTGAGATAGCCACAACGAAGCGCGTGAGCGCATGCAAGTAGGAGGGAATAGTAGTGAGCGGGCGAGCAATCGTAGTTGAACTAATCTGACGCATTTCTTCGAGCGGCCAAAATTACCCTCACCCGATTTAGATGGAGTTGAAAGTTGAGGAGAGGAGTTTCCATGTGGTTTGTTCAACACAGACAAAGAAGAAAAAGGAGGCGGCTGAATTCGATGAAATCGGACAAGAAGAAGGTTTACGCATGGCTACTGAGGAAGATGAAAGAAGGATTTTGTGCCATTCAGCTTAAATTGGCATAGAAGAAGCTACGTAATCCAGCGGTTGACAAGAGCTATTCGATTGCCAACAATCAACATTGGAGGTGAAGGCAAAGGAGTGTTCGATGAATTCATGTTTATTTGGTTGTTTTGATTGATAAAAGTCTGTAGACTCAGGCCGAGAGAGTTTCAGGTTCTTTTTTCTTTTGGGGGGTTGGGACTTCAGGTTGCTGGTCCCAAAATGATTTCTTAATGTAGGCAAGGGGGGTTCAAAACATCTTGGGTTCTTTTGGTCTTTGGGCTGCTGGTTGCCTCTCGGATTGGGCCTTGGCTGCTTTGGTTTTGAGCTAAATTATTGGGACATCCTGTATTCTTTTTAGATCTATTACTAGTAAAATGACACTCCATGTATTCTTTTTAGATCTACTCAAAATGAAATCCTTTAAACTCTAAGGTTGATCTCCATAATTCAAATTTTTCATCAACTCCCTCTCTAGTCTTATCAACAAAAAGAATACCATTAGCCAAAAGCATACAACAAGGTGCATCCTCTTGCAAATGTTTAGTAATAACATCCATAACTAAAGAAAAAAGATATGGGCTTAAAGATGATCATTGATGTTATCCAATTGAAATAGAAAAATATTAAGTCAAACCATCTTGTGCTTGAACACAAATAAATAACAGCTCTAGTATACATAAGTTTAATGACTTGAATATAAGCATTATTAACTACTTTCTTTTTTAGAACTATCCAGAGCACTTCTTTTGGAACTTTTTCATATGCTTTCTCTAAATTAATAAATATCATATGTAGATCCTCCTTACTCTCTTTATACTTCTCCATCAAACCTCTCAACAAATGTATAACTTGCATAGTAGACCTACCCAGAATGAAACCAAATAGATTTGGAGAAATATTAATATCACAACGTAACCTATGCTCAATTACTATCTCCTATAATTTTAATGTATGATACATTAACTTAATTCCTCTATAATTTGCACTGTTGTGCATCACCTAATTTTGAGCAAGGTAAATGATAACCAAAATGTCATGATTTCTTAATTAATTAGTAATCATATTCCAACCATAACCATGTTGGTTCCTTATTTGAAAAAAAAAAAATATAAAAAAACATCAAGTTGCAAAGAATATGGTACTCAAACCATCCAACAATACCAAGGAATGACGATCTCTATAAACTGGCATAAAAAACCTGAGATGACAATTGGGGATTCTGACAAACATTAATGAAATAACAAACCTTAAACAGCCCATATTGCACATTGAAAGCTGCTTGAGTGATGTTCTCCATGAAATCCTTAAAAATACCACCACCATCAATTCCAGCCTCCTCTACCCCAAATTCATTGACAAAGGAAACACGAATCTGACAACATTAAGACATGAAGTAAGGAATATGCATTACAAGCTTCAGAAAAGTAACAAAATTTTGAAAACAGAAAACTACTACAGCAGCTAAGTTTCCAGCCTTCTATCAAGCGTCTCTTCTATTAGGTTTTTATGCATGCACTCATAATTTGTTGGTTATAAGTTGGATTAAGGGGAGGAAATTTCTGCGAGCGTGAAAGTGTCCATATCGATACTTGGAATTTTATGACAGATGTATGGCAAGCATAGGCAAACAAATACCGAGCCTCTGAGTTCTTCTGTTGACAGCACACTCAACTGATTGAAAGCATCTTCAAAAATTCTATTTCTTCTTATCCGAAACCGATTTCTATGTAGAGAATAAGCACCAATTTGTTGCTTTGAAGCTGCAAGTTGCGCCTGTAGAAGAATAATTAACATTGTGAAATAAGATTCAAAAGCAACCGTATATATAAGTGATGTAGGACTAGCATGTGAAGACTTGCATTATGAAATTAAACATAAGTTAAATTTTAAAATTAGCAAGCTATTAATAATGGGGATGCGTAAAATAAGCTTCAAACAAGAAAGAAAGGCAATCCACAAATAGCAATTAACAACAACCAAAGTTCAGGAATTCAAGAAGGATAAATCAAATCAACAACTTAGCTAACACTGGTTGGCAAAAAGATCCAACATTTAACATAGATCAGTAACTATGAGAATCATGCACTCAATGATTTAAGAAGCTAGAGGATTTAAATTAACATGAAATTAGTGATGCCACAGAGAATTGGACTTCAAAGCAATCTACTTAAATGAATGAAGTAAGAGTAGAAAGACTTAGGTATTTGCGTCGATGGGAATCTTCCTTCATATATGGTGGGGTTTCGGCCGGTTGATCTTCAAATGATTGCTCCATATTGCCTTCCTTGTATTTTGGTTCACAATAAAAAAGAAGAGATGTTGGCCGAAATTTGGAAGGAGGGAAGCCACGGTTTTTGCTATTTGGGGGAGATTATGAATGGTATAAGGTTAATTAGAGTGGTGGGGCTTAGGGGAATGGGAGAGAGTGGGATTGGAAAATGGAAAATTTGTTTTGGGAAAAGAAAAAGATATAGTTAACTTTGCAATTAATGGGCCAACTTCCCATTAATTAATTTGAAGAGTTCCAAGAGAGGACCAACCATGGGGAAAGGAAAGGGATGGCTTTTCCAATTCCAAACTAGTTTTGAGAATGAAAATAAGGAGAGGCAATTAATGGGTCAACTTTCCATTTATTAACATGAAGAGTTCCAAGAGTGGGCCAACCATGGGGAAAGAGAAGAGGTTGTGGCTTTTCCAATTTCCTACTAAGTTTGAAAATAAAATTAAGGAAAGGCAATTAATGGGTCAACATCCCATTAATTAACATGAAGAGTTCCAAAAGACAAGTGGGGTCCAATTGGAATCCCAAAGGTCAAAATTTCAGAGTTGGGAAATTTTGGATTGGGAACTTGGATGGGGAGGTGGTGGTGGTGGGCTTGTCGTAGGCGGTGGAAGGGGAAGGGGTGGTTGGCCGAGAAAGGGAGGGGAAGAGGGGTTGACCGGCGGTTAGGGAGGAAGGAGGGAAAGGGGAAGAGATACAAGGGGAAAACCAAGAGCTCAACTTAATGGGTTGTTGAGTACTTCATTCGCCTTCTCCTAAGGCTTCACCACTCAACCACACTCACTTTCACACAAGAGAAGAGGACTGAAATTAGAATTCATTCAAAAATAATCATCATCACCATACAAGGGGGGCAGAGAGCCATATATATATATATATATATATATATATATATATACCACATAACAAGACAAAAGACACAAATTCCCTTGGGTTTATAACATAACATTAAGGAAAAGTTCACAAACTAAATTAAATCACATACAACACACATAACAACTAATAATATAATGACTCAATCGCAGCTGTAGATCTACGGACCCTTCTATGATAAACTTTCCATGCATTGATGTCCCCATCAATAAGTCCATCTTATAAGAAAAAAATCAATTGGACTATTTGTAATAAAATTATAATTATAAGTTCAAGTGGCCCTAAAGATGACATCACTTATGCGTGTGCAAGCATGTTTGGGAAGGTGTTGAGTGGTTGTTCTCACATTGAATATTTTAACCCTGCTTGTAAATGGTACCAGAAACGGAGCCTGTTTCAGTAACTCGGATGCTCTGCTATTTTCAGTTAGCGCCTGCATAAAAATCACCACTGTGAGAAACAAATATTTAAGGCAAAGAAAAGGTATTATCAATAATCATTTTTGCCTGAGCTACAAAAGCTTCACTGCTTGCTTCAAAAGCATGAAAATCACCAGCTGAGGTGAACGACCTTCTATTGTTCCAATCTTGCAACTGTAGAAAAAACAACAAAAAAGTAAATAAGCATTTTGTAACATTGAGATTTGCTCATGCATTAACAAGATAAGCAGACAAAGAGCTTTCACAAAGCCACTACATGCAAGAGCTAGCAAAAAAGCATAATAGCATTCAAAGTGGCTGCTGAGTAATAAATAGATCTGATTCATTTGACATGATTTGTATCACTTAGATACTGAAAAACTTAGAATGATTCAGTGATACAACATAGGCAAGAAACTGAAGTAGTTGTGATTCACAAAAAAAATGCAAAAAAAAAAAAAAAACTTCATCACAACTATTTAATTCCCAATTAACAATAGAAAACAGCTGAGCATTCTGAAGATATACCTGGTTCAAGAGTTCAGATATCATAGCACGAGCACTAGTTCTTATTGTTTCAACTGAGAGCTTCTTATTGGCAAAGAAATCAGTTCCAAGTTTCTGAGGAGACATAGTAGCAGGTACCACCCAAAGGAGTTGCCATAAAGCCTGCAAAAGGAGATTGCAAAAGCATAATTGAAAAAAACCAAAGATATGTCAACTTTGTAATATGTTTTCGATTGAATTGTCGAAAACTAGGCTATTGATAATAATTCACATTAAAAAGAAAAATGTCGACCACCCAAAATAAGTGATGGATTAATTTTGCAATGTATACCATACCTGTTTTAATATGATAACTAAGAGCCTGATATCACTCAAGGATATTGGTCTTTCCTGCTCATAGAATTCCTCATTGTCCATGATTGTCAGCATATACCTGAAAGAGCTTAAGATTAAATGTTTCAGAGGTGACTTCTATTATTTTAAACGACCTAAGACAGAACTTGATACCCTTTCCATAAAACATACGCAGTGATGGCTCTGAGAGCATACACAATACCTAAACAGATTAGATTTCTAAAGATGTTATGCTTGTGAAGGAAAACACAATTGAGAAACAAGAATACTTACTTATACACTGGACAGAAAACAGCCAAAGATAATAGCCAGCGTGGAGCAACATCAGGAATATATGCAGTAAGTTTTGTAAAAAGTGGCCATGTTTGATTTTCTTGACAATACTTAATAAAACTCCATATTATAAGAACGAGATCAGTTCCATAAGCTAGCCCAGTCATGATACGTTCAGAAGGCAATGTATTGAATGTCACATGCAGGAAAGCACAAATAGAACCAATGGCTTCAATCTCTTCATCAGATGGAGCACTTTCATATCTATGACGAATAAGTGATGTATCCTTAAACAATGCATTTACCTGTTCAAGAATCAAATAACAAGTACTAAATATTTGATGAACTTCACAAGAAGAAATGACACTATTTAAGCAGTTATGAAGTAGCATACCAAAAGTTGAAAAAAACGTGAATCCATTGCATCTTTTATCTGCCTTTCCAGATTTGTATCCAAAAATTCGTTAGTTCCCTCATCCACGCTCATGTCATCATCAAAATACCCTGAATAAAGCAAAATAAACCAAAAGTGGAATGTACAATAGGAAATGAAGGTAAGAACAAAAAAAGTTGAGCAAAAAATTGGAGAATAAAGCAGGCAGGCAACAAGCATTTTCACTATACAATAATCTCCAGGAAAATATATGATATTTTCTATAAACAAAGGTTTTAAATTCAGAAATACAAGGGAACACAATAACAGACTATATGAAACTTGAAATAACAATCGTATTGATCAAGCAAATGGTTATTACACATAAACAGGTGTACACATTCATACTGAGTTGGACATGCATGGTTGAATGTCTGAAAACTTCCTAGTTGGTTCAGCTTCTTATAATCTTGCATGCATTTCAAAATAATATGGAGAAGCAAATTCAAAGAAGTTAAAATGTTATTTAAGTCAAGATCTAACTAGTAAAAATGTTGTTCCATATCATATGAAAGTTTAAACATTCACATGCAATAAAACAGGCAAACTTGTAAGTTGAAAAAATTGGCAGGAAAAAGGGAGCAACATGAGCGAAAATATCACATCTACTCCCAGCATTTATTTACAAGGCATGAATAAAACAAAATTTGATACTTTCAGTTAAGCAATCATGAGTAAGGACTCAAATGATAGAAAGCAAGTCAGAAACAAAGAAAAAAATGAACTTTGTGTTAGGTATGTTCTAATCAACATTGAGGAATTCCAAAACGAAAGAATACATAATTCAGCACAATTTAAATTGGGGATGCTGACCTCAAAATCATATGGAGTAAAAATAATGATATTAATAATACTAATATCATTAATATTAATATTAACATTAATATTTAATCCAAGCACTACCAGCAGCCTCCACATCGTCCTCCATTATTGTCCATCAATAACACCACATCAAACTTGTGAAGGATTTGTTGGGCTCATAGAAATCCTTTTTGGGTAAAGCACAAATTTTTTTGTAGCACAAATCCAAAGATGCCTACAAAACACCAATTCAATGTCTGTGGGGACGGGAGCGGAGGCTAAACGTGTAATCAATGATGCTACGGATATTACTCTAGTGCTATCTCCTGCCCATAATGGCGAATCAACCTTTCAAGAGAATGTGGGTAATTTGCTTCATCCGGTTTATGAATCGAAACCATTCAGAAACCGGTGCCTATTGGTGATTCTGTTGTTGTGGAGGCTGGGTGGGTAGTTTTGTCACCATTGGGTGTGCTGAATAATTTAAATGTTTCTCTTACGCCGGCTTTGGTGATTGGTGGGGATAATTGCATTGATACTATTGAGGATGTGGTCATTGGTTCTGGTGTTTTTAATTTGGGGGAGGCTGTTGTGGCGGATGATGCCCCTTCGAATAATAGTTTTCCTTTGGCTGTTGTAAGGAATGGAGATGATGAGGATCTGGTTATTAATAATTGTGGGGTTAACCAATGTGCTACTCCCATTCCGTCCTCTAATGTTGATGGTGTGGGTGATGTTTCTGATGGTGAAAACTCTATTCCTTGTTACTCTATCAGGGCTTTGGATGTGCCTGTTTTCGGCCCTTCCAATGTGCCTTCTCCCTATGTGGGTGGTTATCCTAATTTGGTGGATCGTAATGTCTTTGATGTGCCAATTTCAATTATTTCTAAGGAAGTAAGGATGCTTAAAAGCACATTTGAACATGAAGGATTCTAGTGTAGATCATTCGGATTGACTCGATGGGTCAGCCTCCCCTCCTTGCGGGGATGTTGGAGATGGTTTTGGTGATCCCGTGGATGTTCATGAATTGTATAGTTTGAATGTTGGGTGTTACAATAAGGAAGGTTTTTCTGTTTGTGGTAGCAAAAGATGCAGTAGGAAATCTAAAAAGCACTAATTGGTTTTTGTTTTCCTATTTGTGGATATTGGTCCTTGTTGCAGATTTGGCATTGGAATTTTGAGGTTGGGGGCTCTTTGTCTTTGTTTCTCTTTCCTTATGTCTTTGCTGGTTGTGTTTTGTTGATGTTGGATCTTTTGGTTGGTTGTTGGTTTTTGGGTTTGCAATCCTTTTGGTCGTGAAGTTGTTGGTAGTGGGGTGGTTTGTTTTGCTTGTGTTGGTTCTTTTGGTTGTTTATTGCAGGTTTAGTTCGTTGATCTTTGGGCTGCATGACGGATATGATGGATTCTTGCTTCCTTTAAAAGCCTACCGTCATTTCTCCGGATCAATTTGGTTCATATTTTTTATGTTGTTTATTTGTGTAATAGATAGAACTTTGGATCATAGGTTTTATTTCAAAAGTTGTATTTTTAGAAAGCTAAAGGTTCTTTAAGGACCTGTAATTTCATATTTTAATCAACACGTAAGCCTCCTTGGGGTTTTTATTAAAAAATAATAATTTAATGTCTGATTCAACCCATTTTGTTTAAATCAGTGATCAAATAAGTTCACATTAGTTGGTTGACCTAGATGGTACAACAACATCAACATCAAACCTTTATCCCACTACGTGGATTTGGCTACATGAATCTTTTTCTCTATTGTGTCATGTTAAGAGTCAGATACTCACTTACATATAATAAAAAGGTCAGTTTTAATACTTTCTAACCAAATCTTTTTAGGTATATCATACATTTCTTAAGATAGGACAAATATAATACATCTACTCTCCTAATCGGGTCATCGGAAAGCTAATGTTTTATGTGGCCAAACCATCTAAGGGAACTCTCTCTAACCTTATCTATCAGTGGAGCTACTCCAACCTTTTCACGTATATACTCGTTTCACATTCTATCCCTAAGAGTGAAGTCACTCATCCACAAAAACATTCTCATCTCTGCAATACTTAACTTAATTTTATACTTCTCTTTTAATTGCCAACATTCTGCATCATCAAGCATTGCAAGTCTCATCATAATCTTATCGAATTTCCCCTTAATTTTGAGTGGTACTTTTCTGTCACACAACAGGCCCGATTAATTCCTCCACCCCATCTATATCAGTATCACTTTGAACAACATACCCGAGATATCTAAAACATGTTGATGGGGACATCAAATCATGAAAAGTATATCAAAGACATGGCCGACGATCTACAACCACGATCGCGACGATCAATTTTTGAGTCATCCTATGTATTTGTTTTATTTATTTGCTTTATGTATTAGTTTTATTAGCATTTCTCATTTTACCCTTACTTAAGGGTTTGGTCATATGTAAATCCTAGGAGCAATGTCGTTTTTTAGTTCTCTTTCATTGTTTGAGGCTATATATAAGCCCCTTATATTTCTTTTGAAGTTAATGAATGAATAATAATGAAATTTCTACATCTTTGTGTTTTTGTGAGAGCTTGAGAACTTTGGAGAGAAATTCCTAGGAGTGGGAAACAGATCACTCACCAACCTTAGAAGCGTCCGGGTTTGTGGCAATTTTCTTCCCTATCCTTTCTCCTCCTCCCTCCCTTCCCTTCCACCATACGGCCAAGCTATTTTTCCCAAAACCACCGGCCAACCCAAGCCCCACCCCCATAGCCGTCAGCTTCTCACTCCACACCCTAGCTGCCGGCCCTCCCAATTCCCCTTCAAGATTTGTTACTTTCCTAAATTGCTATGTAACTAATTTGGGAAGGATTTGAATTCAAATTCAAATAAGTTGGAACTTCCAATTCTTTCCTAAATCCCATAGCTTATTTTTGGAAAGCCTCCTTCAATTTAGTCACAATAAAATCTGAATTCCAACCAAAGAATAATTCAAGACCCCTTTCCTAATTTAAGTTGGCTTTGATTGGCACTCAATCAAAGATCCAATATTCCCTCTTAATAGCCGGCCAACATCCCTTTTTCTCCTGCCACCTCTCTCTCTCCAGTTCCCTTAAATCCTTTCCAAATTAAAAACCCAATTTAGGAAACTCTTAGCCGCCTCTCTCACCCTCTCCCTCCTTTCCTTTATTCCTCTATAATTATTTCCTACTTCAGGAATCTATGGAAGGAAAATAATTTTCTCCTAAACTCCCTCCAAACCTAATCAAAACCAGCCGCCCCTTGCCTTTTGGATAAAGTTTTCTGAAGTTTAGCTGCTGGCCAAGCTCCAAAGAGAAGAGCCTTCATGCTCTCATCCAATACATAAAGTAATATCAGTTTCCAACCCAACCCGACTGCTGTCCAGCATTTCAGGATGGGTTAGTTTGCTGTCCAGAATTTTCTGGACATAGACGTATGCTGTCCAAAGGCTCCTGCAGCCACCAACTGCTGTCCAAGCTTGCGAGAAGGTTCCTAAATGCTGTCTTCACACAGGACATTCGTCAAGCAGCTGTCCAGACTCAAGAATTTCCTTCTTACAACTTTATTTCAAGTCCAATCATGACAAAGGTGAGTTTTCCCCCCTCCTCATTTCCCTTCCTATTCTCCTTCGATTATGGTTGTGTATCAAGCATAAAGAATCATGCGAAGCTCTCCGCCAAAGATTAATAAACATAGGGAATGAGTGATGGACTTCTATGCATCTAATCTCGTTGTTAATCTAGAGATGTTATTGGAAATCCTCTATATTTGCTTATATTGAATTTTCTAATTGTTTTGTGATCCTAACTATTATTGTGTGACTTGGCCTAAGCTAAGGCACCCCTTTCTTGTTTTCTATTTTCGATAAGTGGCTAATGTTTTAATTCTTATTGCTCTAACTTGAAAGCGTGCAAATTCTTATATCAATCATTTAAGCATTCATTATCCTAAATCACATGTACTCTTTTTAATGACTCGATCACCCAAAGTCGCAATCCCCCCACTAGATCTATTACCACTAAAATCAAACTACATGTAAATGTGTACTCTTTTTTTTTTAGATCTTTAGTTGACCTAGAGGGTGTTCGAGAAAATTTTGGACACTCTTAAACAAACAATTGGTTGCTATTTCAACCTGATTTGCCTTGAATTACACAAAATCAAATTGACCCAACCGATTCAGTTACCACCTTCCTCGGAAAGGGTTCAACCAGTCGTGGAAGGGGTCAACGAATTGGGGCCCATGGAACCAACCCCTAAGAGAAGCATGCTAATGACCTCAAACGTTGATAACGTGCACTTAGTTGGTAGTAGAAAATCCTTCAAGTTCAGCTTTTCTCCAGGCCATCGTGGTTGCCACGATCAACCCACGGTTTCACAACCTCTACATAACTTCCTCCCCCTCCCAAACCACTCTCTCATGCCTTTTTCTTTCCATCCATGTGCTCCCCCTCGTGTGAAGAAACATTCAAGAATTTATTTATTTTTGTAAATTCAATCTTTACATGCCACATCACCACTTTTCTCTATCTTCCATCCCATTTCTTAAAACATCTCAATCAAATCTCCAAAAAATTCTAAAATTATACAATTTTGAATTTAAATTTCATTTTAGATTTAACTAAAATTCCTATTCACTTTGCAAAATTTTCTTTCACAAAATTAATAAAGCATAATCCAAATCAAATTCAAACTGTATCCCATCTAAAATATGTCTAGAAACAATAAAATGGATCCAAATAAAAAAATGCAAATTTTGAGGCTTGCTTCCATCTTCAAATATATCCATGTATTCTTTTGGCTTACAATCTCCAGGAGTATACAACATTTGCAAAGAGAACTGCTGAACTTCTTCATAGGAACATTGCATCAAGACTGGAATTCTCAATGATCTATGCCAATGTAAGTTCAAAAATTTCCTTCATTAATTGCTGAGTTAGTGTCATTATGGGTCCATGGTTTAGGAAACTCCACTTTATATTAAATCAAACATGAAAAATGCAAGTTACAGATAATATTTATTTAATTGAGTTGTAAGATGCCCATAATTATTTCTTAATTGACATATGAACTAGTTTATATTTATAGATTTGTTTAGTGGGATTTGCTATGTACCATCCCGTTGTCATAAATATCATCACATCCATGTCCAGAAAAAATTGAACAAAAATTCTCAAAATAAAGTAGAAAATTAAAACTAATTAAAGTTGAATTGATCATTCAATTGCTCAAGATTTCCAATGAATATAAACAACTGGATCTACGTCAGATATTTTCATGATACAAATAAGTATTCAACCTTGTCAGGCAAAATTCACAACAACAAAAAAGGTTATCAAAATAAGGATGATACAAATATTGGCAATCAAAGCAAATATTCATAAACATTCAAAGGAAGCATTTACTGAAAAAAAGAAATCAATGAAGGAAAAGAAATTTTATCACATTCCAAGTCTAGAGATAGAAATGAAAAGATCTTACCAGCTCCAGCTGATGATTTCAATTTTGGAAGCGCCTCAAATAAAAAGCTTAAGACAAGTACAAAATCCATGATCTAGCTTGAACAAAGATAAAAACCAAGTCATGAAAAAGGGTCAAGAAAGACCATTATTGAAAATGCACATAAAGATATAGAAGCAATGAACCACAATCGATGAACAAATTATGTAGAAACTATAAAGCACAAGGTATATAAAGTTCAACAATTAGAACCACAAGAGAACGGAAAAAGAAAATCAAATAGCTTATTAGCACCATCATTAGGGGACAACTTAAAGACCACCCTTTAGGTCATGTTGAATGCTAAGGTAAAAATCCAAGTTCGTCCAAGATTTCTTTATATTAAATCCTTGGTCTTCACCTTTTTCTTTCAATTACATACGAATTAGGGGTTTTGTATGGTTACATTTAAGAAGTGGAAGTGGGAAGAAAAAGGAACCAATTTAGCATCTTGGATGGAGGAGTAAGTAGGATGCAACTTGTTCCCTAAGAAGTGGCTAGTAAATTCATAGTCATTTGACTTTGGGCTCAAAAAACCCTATGTCACAACTCTAAAAGTTATTGAATATTTTTTTAAAGGATAGAAACTTATTCTAAATATTTTATTACATGAAATAGGGTATAAGGAAAATAACAATTCCAGAAGACATTAAATGTGATACTCTTATCTTCCTGTTAATATAATGTCACTAACATAAATTCTGGCAAACCTACATATAATATAATTTATGATATAATTTCTTATAAGCAGTAGGTATTGTATAAAAAAATTATATTTCTTATTATATGTTTAAAATATTTGAAAATATTTTTGTATTATTGTAATGTATAAATATTATCATATTTTACATACATAAATTCCTATAGTATAAAGTAACAAGTAAATATGTGCTTATAAATTCATGTGTGTGATATGCATCATACTTATACTTTATTAAAGGATAATATATTACTACCATTTCAAACATTATAAGTATTATTTATTTATAAATTTACATGGAATGCATGCATATATGTATGTGTACATTCGTGATATATATATATATATATATATATATATAATTGGAAACCTAGTAAACGCCACTGCCTTATGGATGTGGCAAAACATAGACAATCATTATATAACACTTATAAGACTATAATAGGTACGAAAAAGAACAGAAATGTGAAAGTAAAACAAGTATTTGATACTAGCATTTCACTAGCAAAATATATCGAAAGATTAGACACTTAATAGTTATATTTTCATTCACTGGGGGCATTCATAGTTATTACTTATGATTGTGGCATATACCAATTATTAAATCATATTTTATTTTGATGCTTCTTACACTGAGCTTGATAGATCATCAAATATTACTATGCTTGTTGTTTCATGTGAGAGATTAGAGCAGGTTGGGTCATAGTTAAGTGATCAAGTTTTATCCTTTATCTCAACGTTTTGTGGTACAATTTTGCTGTATCAAAGAAGTGCCTAATGTATGTTAAAGATGTCTCAAATGTATCAATTATCTATGATGTTGATTAGAAGTTCCATAATTTATTTTGATAAACTCAATTATGTAACCTTTCAGTAGTAATAAATATGAAAGAAGTTTTGTGTTTTTTAATAATATGGACAAATAAATCTTCTACCCACTCAATCATGCTTAGTAAGAGTTGCGATAGGAGTTGGTTCAAAATGTGTTTGAATGGATTGTCACTGCTGCCACACTTCGTGCTTAATCACAAGAGGTCAATACAGGGCTTCACAAATTTAGTCAAGAAATTTGGCAAACCAAAATCACTTGGAGCCCATTTTAGAATTACAATTCTAGTCAAGATTTAGGATTTATAAATTGCAACTTGGTTTATTGAATATTTCAATTTTTTAGAGGCACAATCCAAACCAAAACTAACAAACCAATATGAGAAAAGTTGTAATAAAATTCAAACATTTTTTTCAAACCAAACTCAATTGTAAAAATAATTGTATAACTACATCAGGCTAGAGTTGGGCAAAAACATACAACTCTAACAAGCACCATCTAAGAGTATGAATAATCATACTTATTCAATCAATTATTATGTTCTCATCCTTTCATGATAAGTACCATACTTACTCAGTAATTTTTCGAATCCCCATTAATATCTTCAGCTTTGCAAGAGAAAATGATCGAGAAAAGTTACATAACCTACATTCAATCAAGGTTAAAAAGTAGAAAGATAGATGACGATGAAGCACAGACACTTCAACAAGTCTTGTATGTCTCCGTCAAACTTTGTTACAAAAGCAACATATACCTAACAAAATAAAAATTGTAGATGTACATATTTCAAAATTAGAGTCGAAGCTAGCTGGGACAGACCCTAACATCTCTTGCATTTGTTAAAAAGGATGAGACATGCAAGCTGTCTCTAGTTCTATAAATTTTTGGATCCGGTAGAAGAATAGATACCCCTTTTTTTATTTTTGGTATTTCATGTAAACAATATATTGTTGAAATTGAGAAGATCATGTCTGGTGATTAAAGCTAATGTTGGCGTGTTGTTAAAAATTAACTAGCTGAAGATATATTAAAATATAATTCTAATTAAATTAATGTTCAGTTTTCTTTTTTTGACACACAAGCTTTAAATATGATACATATGATATTCTACTTCTTTGTGTATTTTTTTATTGAAAGTATTGGCATACTAATGCATTTTAAATTAAAATTTATGCATTTTAAATTCAATTTTATAAAAGAAAACATATATTCATGATGTGTGTTCTATTTGTAACAGGTATGCACTCTCATTGTGTAAATATCATGTCATTTATACCTAATGTGCGTGCTTCACAGATAGGCCGGCATTTCAAGGTTGCGGATAATTTAAGGGGTAAAGGTTACTGAAAAGAATCAGAGAATAAAAAAATGCACACAAAAGAATGCAACAAATGAGGATGGAAACCAAATCTCATATAATCCGAAGAAAAAAGATATCCTTTGAACCATACATAGAAGTGATGAGATAAATAGTTGTCTATGGAAAATTAAATATACACACGTTCCTTTTAAGTTCAACCCGAACAGAGCAGCTGGAAGATGCATAAACAAGAAAATAGTATAGATAAATTTCATTCAATGGAGCAATATGAACAGAAATCACTGTTATCAATATCATTCGCCTATTCCCGATTATTTGGGGATGAGAATAATAAGCAAGCATACCCAGTTAATGAATAACAATGAGGGTACTATTATATAAATGATGGGAAAAACAAGAACCCAATAACTTATTTATAGCCTTGCGCAAACGAAGAGTTAACATAATTTAATATAGAGCCTAGTGTAAACCAAGACTCGTCCTTGTTTCCTTAGAAATAGAAAAAGAAATTCATATATTAGCGGGAGGACCGAATTAAACAAATACATATATAAGATCTCATGGTGCTTATATAAATGAGACTAATAAAGACGAAGTTATTGTATGTCAGGAAAATGAAAGAATTATGGTGGAATGATCTGCCAACTTACTGTAGTGAGGCTGTAGCTTTGATCAGAAAAAACAGCCGCAGCAACTTCTATTAAATTACCAAGTAGACAGGCATGACTTGGAAAATCAAGAGAAACGCCATTTGGAAGGATAGATGCATGACCAGGCAAGCAGCTTGCCAATCTATGGATATAGAACTTTGTGAGTCTTTGCATCAAGAAAACCTGAAACATCAAGAAACAAATTCTTAATAAAGATACCAAAAGAAATCATAGTGTTAAGTGAATTAAAAACGTACTTGTGGAACAATAATCAAGTATTACTGTGACAGTTATATAATAAGTTTGTAATCAAAACCAAACAAAGAATCAAAACAATTAATCTAATTTGTGCCCTGCAAATAACAAACTTATCCAAATGGTCGAGACAGCCAATAATTGAGTCACATTTTGACACAAGATGAGCTTCAACCAACTAGAATACTTGACAAACATTACACTTTAACCACTAACATGTATCCAAGATCAGACCTAAACTGGTATACTTAATTCAACCCAACAGATCTCTAATCAGGCACAATATCAATTAAGGATCAAAACTCAACAAACAGTTCAATCATAAAAAGTTAAATATATACTATTGATAAACCCTATCCCCATCTAACCTATATGTAACAATACTCTTTAGCATGGATGCAGGCTAAAAAAAGCCAGTCACCCGTACCCACACCTATACACATTGATGGAGAGGAAAGTGCCAGCCCAAGATGAGCATTTGACTTTTTTCGCCATACCCGATCACTTGAAAGTACTGACTATCAAAGCTCTCAGCATCTCATTCTCTCAATTCACAAAAAGATATGCTCTATGCGCCATTTCCACCCACAACTTTTGTTCAGGCGAGGTGGTAAGCAAAGTCAACCACAATGAAAAATGCTGATGTGGTGATTGACAGATGGATCATTCTGCTTCTGGCAAATAGTAAGTCGCAATACCAAATTTCTGCATCAGCTTTGATGGATATCTACAGAATTACAACTTGACAACCTTCGTTCAGCAAACAGAGTTCACTTTCAAAATTATTTTCAGAGAACCAACTTGGCAATATTGATGTTGTCAATGATATTCAAGGTTTAGATGCATTTTCCTTTAACCATTTTTCCCATCTTTTGAACTTCTCTTACCATACCTACCTTTTCCATTAAGGTTCCATTTGGGACGGCTTTTTTACTGCTTCTCGAAGCAGTTTTCTAGCACAAAAAATATTTTTTTATACTAAAAAGCTGTTTTGCGAAGCAGTAAGAAAGTTGTCCCAAACGAAGCCTAAGTCGGCAAGATGGTTTGGCAATAATTACAATAGTTGAGATGAGAAGTCAATCACCAAGACACCTAAAAATTTTAAACATGCTGCTCAATGTTTTGAATAAGAAAATATAGGCCAACAGCACAGCACAATAGCAATTATATTTTTTCTTCTCTGCCACACCGTGCTTGTAGTTTATTAACCTACGTGATGCCACATAAAGAAAAATAAAAGATGACTATTTGAAAAAAAAATTACCTCCTTATAATATGAAAGATGATGCCACAAAAAAGGGATTGACAAGATTTGCAACGAGAAGCACAGTTTTGGATCCGTGTCTAAACAACAATTTGGATGCCCACAAGCATGAAAAGTAATTAGAGCAAGAACATTCTCCAAGGAAGACATCCGCGAACGATTTTCTGGCTCTTTCATGTTATTCTGCATGAAGAACATGTGTGCTTTAGAAAAGAAACCACAATAACATCAGAATTAAGGAGTGCATCATGAAACACATTATTGGTGTCAGCTTGTATCATTCAATTTTAGACATAAATAATACATATTACATGAAAGTTTCAAATTAAAAATCAGAATGCTTCGCTGACAACAATTCAAGCAAAGGACACAATCAAAAGGAAGAAAATGAAGCAACGGATTCCAAACTGCGTAGAAATTATAAACTAAAGTATAAAGGCCATCTCCAAGTATAAAAAGACATGCGGTTTAATTATTTCTCATTTCAACATATATGCCTTTAAAGCTTTAACTTCTTACATTTTATACTAGGATTCTGGGCACATGTCAGGGTTAGTAGAACCTTAATTTTGAACATAAATGATATTAGATCTGGAGTTTCAATACAACAACAACATCAAGCCTTTATCCCACTACGTGGGGTCGGCTACATGAATCCTTTTTCTCCATTGTGTCCTATTAAAAGCCAAATTCTCGTTTAAATCTTTCTTATCAAGAACTCTCCATAGCACTTCTCTTGGATCTGGAGTTTCAATATGAAGATAAAATGCCATGAACTTCTAGATTATGAAAAATTTTTAGTTAAAGCATAAACTAATTGCACATGTCAGAAAAGAAAACCAAGTCAGTACAACAAGCACGGTTGCTTCACACAATACAATGACCAGTTGTATGAATAAACCTAATCTCTAATCTTCAAGGATCCAAAAAATCTTCACATAAATTGCTCTATTTTCTCAAGATACTTGCTGCAAATTAAACTTTCACTGGACTGGCACAAGCGATAAAGACATTGCTTGACCTTGAGGTTGATTTATTCTATTTAGTTTTCCCTCAGTTTCTTGTGCATGTAAGGATAGAAATGAGTATCAGCACCAAACTACCAAGCCTTCTAAGAGGTGGATTGATTAACATCAAGGAGTCTTTTCTGCCTAACAAGTTGAAACACTTTCCAAATGCCCAAAAATAAGGGTTTTTGGAACATTACAGTTGTGGATGAAGTGCAATTACATTTTATATTTCTTAGATGAGTGTACTCCACACCCATAAACCACCCACTCTTGGCCTATCTGATAAAAATGGTTACTCAAAATAACAAAACTTTATTTCATACAAAGGAAGCTAATTTTTCTAGGCAAATTCCTTTAATGAAAACCGATCTAGATTTGACTTCCATATATAGCTCCCTTTGACATTGGAATGTTGCAATTCCCCAGAGCTTCTTTCATAAATCTTTCATCTTGCAAGAGATACAGTTTTTTAACAATCTGGAAAAGCTGGGAGCACACTTGTGCTTCTTTTGAGCATGAAGTCCATCCCAATCAACCATCTCTTCAATAGCATTCTTGTATCCATCAAACCATAATCTGGAACTTCTCCATCGTAAACTAATCTAGCAAGAAACACATATATTCATCAGGGAATTGGACCATGCTTCTTTCACTGATTACCGAGATTGATTGATAAATGAACCCAACTCTCACAAACTTGGGTTAAAATACTGAGTACTGACCAATGCTACCTATTATAGTGCACTAGGTAGAAGATGGAGACAATTGGTATTTCTATATGTAAATCAATTTGACTGGATGTTGTTTAGCTCAGCAATACCAATACTACGTTACAAAGCCTAAGGGAAGTTGAGCCCAATAATCGTGCATTAGGAGGCAGTTCGATCCCTCATTTTCCATTTGCACAAGAGAATGACTGAAACCTTTTGTAAAGAAAATAAGAACGAATTTAGTAAATAGGAAGAAAGTTTTAACCTTATCAACTTGCAAAGAGTTGTCCCTTAATGGGGAATCATTCTCTACTCACTTAGTGCCCAGGAACAAGATAATGAAAAGAAGTGGAATGAGAATTCCTTCTTGAAAGTCAATGAAAGTTTGAAGGTTCAGGCCACGGTTAATAAGTTCTAGAACAAGAACCAAGCTGATTTATTTCATAACACGTGAGGATAATGGAACCGATGTTCTTAACATGAAGCCAACTAGTACAACTAGTTAAAATTGGATAAAACAAAACTATTCATAATTACATAACTCTTCAAATTGTATCACTTACAATGACCTGATATTATATTATTAGCAAATGTCAATCATTTAGTTTATCGACATACTTAAATAACAAATTCTTAAAAAACATCTTAGACCTATTTAATCTGCATCTATTTGTTACCCAAATTGGCCAACCGTTTTGATTTCAATTTAAGGGATAAAAGAAAAAAAATGATCAATCATTGACGATCATAGTACATTGCACACAAAACTATTTTTTTAGCAACAAAGCATTAAACTAATCACCCCAGTTTTTGTTTAAATAACAATGTTATTGAATAATGCACCTATCCATATCACATACTACCATCCAGTCAGATGCTCATATGGAGAGTACAAAAATGACAGTCACGGTCATGAAAATAAAAAGCAAACCTGAATACGATTAAAAAAATTACCGTCCACGCTAAAACTGGGAACTATCAGCCAATTTTATTCAAAGAGAAGAATATAAAAGTTAAGTTAGCTTTCTATAATACTTGACACATAAATTGGCAAGATAAACCCTCACCATGCTGCTGAGAATGATGCCACGCAATAAGAGGAAGATCTTTTGCTGCAAAAGATGAGCAGTAACCTTGCAGGCCCATGGAAGATCAGAGTTTATTAAGATGGCCACTGTATCCAATAAAATAGTTGTAGGCATACCAGATGGCATCAGAAGTTGATTCTTCAAGACTTCCCTATGTGCAGAGTAGGAAGAGAAAACTATCAAAGCCAAGTACACTTAAAAATATCAAAAATAGTACATAAAGGGAGAATCACATGCCAAAGTCATGCCAAACACCGAGTACATAAATATTGCAGTCAAGAAACCCATCCCAAATTCAAGTGTTCTACAGTTAACTGATGGGAAACTCACCAAAAAACATTTAAGAAAATGAAAATTATACATAGTTAGGTTCACAAAAATAAAAAAAGTTCATATCATTATTCATCTTGGGTCAATCTGCAGGGGTCGTCGTGGGCTATGACACAAAAACACTCAAATAATATTCATTATGTATGCTCTAGGGTGCTCTTCATTCATTCAAAAGTAAATTTGGGACTCAATTTTAATCATTGAATAGATCATGCATTAAGCTCCCAAGCCAACCTAAATGTTGATCGATCAAGACTAATTTGTTAAACACCAATAGTCACAAAAAAAAAAATCATACTACAACAACATCAAGCCCTTATCCCACTATGTGGAGTCAGCTACATGAATCTTTTTTCTTCATTGTGTCATGTTAAAAAATCAAATCCTCATTTAAATTTAATAAAAAATATCATTTCTAATATTTTATAGCAAGTCTTTTTAGGTATACCTCTATCTTTCTTAACATGGGTCAAATTCAATACATCTACTCTACTAATTGGGTCATCAAAAGGCCGACAGTTTGTGTCCAAACCATCAAGTCGATCCCTCTAATCTTATCTGCGACTAAAGCTATTCCAACATTTCCACATACATATTTTGTTCGCATTCTATCTCTAAGAGTGAAGTGACTCATCCACCTGAGCATCCTCATCTCTACAACAATTAGCTTTACTTTATGCTTCTCTTTTAATGGCCAACATTCTATGCCATAAAGCATTGCAGGTCTCACCACCAACTTATAGAATTTTCCCTTAAGTTTGAGGGATACTTTTCTAACACACAATAGGCCCAATGCATTCCTCCACCTCAACTATTTAACTTGAATTCTACTAGTAATATCCCCACTATTTCACCATCACTTTAAACAATAAACCCGAGATATTTAAAATGTATACTATGATTAATGACTTGATTGCTCAAAATCACAATCCCCACTAGATCTATTACAACGAAAATTACACTCTATGTATTAGATTTTAAATCTACTCAAACAAAAATCTTTAGGCTCTAAGGTTGACCTCCATAATTCATGTTTACAATCAACTCCCTCTATAGTCTTATCAACAAGAAGAATATCATTAGCAAAAGGCATACACCATGGTACATCCTCTTGCAAATGTCTAGTAAGAACATCCATCACGAAAGGAAAAAAGATATAGGCTTAAACACATTTTTCTTAATGAGCACCAAACCATTGTCGCAATATTCAATTAAGCGTGTTCTCAATATCAATAAAAGCATATGAAGATACTTTTTATATTATTCCTTTAAATTTCATGGCATAAATATCATCTCTATTAATGGCTTATTGGCATAAAGCCAGATTGACTCTCTAGTATTGATGTAATTATATTGTCTATGTTCCATAACTCAATTGTATGACTCATAAATTTGATTATACTATAATTATCATAATAAAAATATCTCTTTTGTTCTTAAATGTTGAAGCAAAAATGCCTCTTCATTAATTATTTGGCATCCTCTAGTCTTCAAAAAATTATTGAAAGATACATAAACCAAATCACGACAAGATCATTCATAACAATCCAAATTACAATAGGTGCCTTATTTGTATATAAAGCTTTACTTTTATCCAGCTTGTTAAAAGTCACACTACTTCACTTTTGTTAAATCAATCTTATAAAATACATCATTATGCTATTTATTATTCTTCCAAAAAATAATTCTTTGAAATCCATTAATAACTTTTAATAGTAGCTTCTTCGTCTTTAAATAAGATTTTTTTTATTTTTTAATCTGTCTAAGTAGATCAAAATCATTAAAAAGCTTATCTCAGCATATTAGCATCTCACATAGTATAATAAATTATCAAATTTTGAAATTTTACTTTGCTTACTGAAAAATTGTATTTGCAATGGCAACTTTGAGATATCATGGAAGAAAATCTACAAACTGTCAAAATTAAAGCATTCGTTTAAGAAAAAAACAAAGAAATGCAATCACTTTATTTTTTCTAGGACTTTATTAGGCATGTAATCAAAACAAAACGCTCAAACTTGATACCCATATATATCTTTTAGTTGAATAATTAAACAAATTTGAGTACAGTTAATGAAGCTCGGCTTAATCGAACAAGCCCAAATATAGACAAGCTAAGCTTCTATTCATGAACATGCTCTTTGCTAATAAATTTCTTCATAAGAGCTTGCTAAATGCTCATTTAATACTTATTTGATAGCTTTTTTGTGAAATTTAATCCTGAAATTAATCCATGCACTTTAACAAAAGTACATGAATTGAGTATTAACTATGTATATTTTCTGGAAGCTTTTTTAGAGCAAATCATCAGTTAGTTGGATTTGAATATACTCTACATTTTGATATATTTTATTAAAAAAAAAAAAGATTTCAAAAATATAGTGAAGTAAGATTTTATAAATAACTTTGAATATGTTCATATCCTATAATGCGACTACAGGTTAGAACTCTTAACATTGCTAGTACAAGCTCTCTCTTTCTTTGGGAGAATCTCAACCTATTTTAAAAAATTCCACAGCATTCAAAAAACAGACAAGTTAATTTTAAAAGCATACATAACGTAAGTTTTAAGAAAAGAAATCTTAGTTCTAAAAGAGAGATTAACTTATATAACATTGAAATCTTCTTTATTTACGAAATTAACATTACAAATTGAGTATGTGCAGATTATACATCCAAATCATTTAGAAGGATAGTTCAAAGTTTTATTGTGCGCTTCAGGACTAGGTGGTTTTATAATATATAAACTTGAATGAGTGTTATTTCTATAAATCTGTAACATTTTGGTGTTACCTACAAATTGCTCTGTTTAGAAGACAGTAAAACTCAATATAAGTCCACTAGATATGTAAAGGCTCCAAAAACTCAGCGTCCACATTAGATGCTAATTTGAAGTAGAGCAAAACAACCAACCTGTTATGGTGGATTGTCTTCATGCAGACAAGCACAAGCTTTTTGACCCTCGTCTCCACAACAGAACGCGTAGTGGAATAATCATTTCCGGAAAAGATACTCACAAGATCCCCTGGGCAACCTTGAATTTATTAAAAATGGTTTTCATCTCAAAATACAGAAAAAGAACCTAATTGATCATCAAAGCATTGAGCAAAATCAGAAAAAAATCTTTGTACAGAATAACATGCTCACGAACAAAGATGTAGACAAGAATATTCTTCTACTTAAAATGATAGTCACGGAGAAGATGACAACAACGATAACAACCATGATCTAAAACAGATTAAATTGATTATTCTGCAAATTTTCACCAGAGGAAAAAATTTTAAAGGAAGAAGTAACAACAAAACACTCAATCGCATTAAAGTCATGCAAAATGAGATAAAATGCTGATTAGGCAAACAGCCATCTAAAAAGATAAGAAATCAATCTCAATTCAAGAGTTGACAGCTAAAAAGGAGATCCAAAAATATCAGTCTGTAGTAAAATTAGAATACTGAGATGTGCAAGTAGCAATAAACGAATATATATATATATATATATATATATTAGAAATGACATGTGTTTATTAGATTTAAATGAGAACTTGACTCTTAATATGACACAATGAAGAAAAATGATTTATGTAGCTGATCCCACGTAGTGTGATAAAGGCTTAAAGTTGTTGTTGTTGTTATATCAAATATGAATTATACAAGTATGCCTATTAATATACCTGCTTGATATGCTATTAAGGATGATGGTTAATGGACTGTTCTTGCCGCCTTCTCAAGACTATTCATGATAATTTATATAGATATCTACCAACAAAATTAAAAGTAGTAAGTAAAAGAAAAAAAATCAAGCAGAAATTCAAGCAATGTTGTCCACCGCCAATATGATAAGAGGCAAATAAAAGAAGAAGAGCCTCATACAGAAGCAAGAACTCAAAACACCCTTGAATGGCTATTATCCTTTAGGGAAAAAAACTCCTTCAATTCAAAAACTGTAAGAACTTGTGAAAAATTTCGTGAGAACTAAAGAACAGGTTCCAGTTTTCTAAGCTTACCATCGTTATGAACAAACTGAAGTATTAATCGGCAAGCCGCTGTCAGGATAGCTACATCACCACTGTTCTTTACTGAGAAGAAAAGGAGTAGCTGAGGCAGAAACTCTGACTCAGCACCAAAGCAGCTCCTGATTTAACAGACATTCTTTATAAGATTTTAGAAGAGTTTGCTTAATATTTTATCACAGCATAAATAAATTAAATTTCTATAGATGTTATTAGTATAAAAACGTCACAGCATTATGGCATATGTAGACATCAGAGAACCTACCGATCTGCTTTTTGACAGCGATCACCGAATGTATGGCAGAACTGCTCACGTATCCTTGATCGTTCCAATTCAACAGCCCTCCAACCTCTGAAGAATTTCTGCAGTTAATAAAAAGTCAAGTTCCTTATTTTGCATTTATTACAAAAGAATAGAAATATAGCAGTCTAATAAATAGGTGTTTCACAACTGATTTATCATTGTATGCCAGTGAAGCCTATATGATCCAGTAAAGTCATCATCACCATTATCATTAACCTTATCCAAAATCCAAACAACTTAGAATAATCTATATAAATCAATTGTCTCCGTTCATTCTAGTTTTATGACCCAATAAAGTATGTCTATCAAATAGCAATTCATTCCTTACCCAGTAAAACATATTGAATTCTTATATAACAATTTTCCGTACCAAACTATATCTTCAAATTTGGCATGCTTCTGTTAACCAAGCATGATCCTAATTCCAGTAATACATTCAGACGCAGCAAGTTCATTTTCCCCAATGAAAAAAAGCTATGAAGCAATAGAACAACACATGCCACATATGTTTTAGCCCGTCATGCAATAGTCGCAAGAATAGCACTCCATATCAAGAAAGTTATTAAGAAAGACAACCTAACAGCACCAATTGTCGCACAGATGTCAAAACTTACAATTTACATTTTTTTCAGAACTAAATTTCTGTTTAAAATTACCAACGCAGACTATATAATGGATCAAATGATAACTTCACAGAAAAATTAAGATTAGTTATCATAACTAGGTTAAATTGGCTATCTCCCCAAAAAATAATTTGAAGACAATGCGATAGAGTTGCTAATATATTAATGTTGATCCCTGAAGAAAAATATCTTCCATTACAATATGCTCTTGATCAATCAGCATTTTGTAACATTCAATTTTTCTTTTTTTAATTGGCTGGAGGGGAAATTAGAGGACTGCCAAAGTTTCGAGTGCAACATGGGAATGCAGATAACTAGTTCAGAATTTGAAATAGTGCTTTTTCAATTGGTTAAATATTGTCATGGCACAAATAATTCTAGAAGCTTCACATCACTATTATAGATAATGTTTCTCAAAATAATTAGCTTTATGAAACTTCAATAAGGAACTCCTGCCGAAACAACTCAAAGAGTGTTGATTTAAACATTTCACCAGATTTCAGGTTTTGAATTTTCATTCATAAAATTGAAAGAAGTGCCTGGGCAGTAATTTCCAAAAAAAGAATTGGGGCATCGACCAACATGCTATGCAAGCTATACCATGGAACTGCAAGGACCAAAAAGAAACTTATTTAGCTTTACAAAACACAGGAATCTTAATGGATGGATGTGTGGCTCAGCAGCCCATCTTGCTTGACAGTGGCAAACTGCATTGCCCATTACCTGACACAGCACCTTATACTAACTTACCATCAATCATTTAAAAAAGTAAAAAATTTATAATTATGACACTTCCAGAGATAGTACTAAAGTAACAGAATGGGGAAGAGGTGAGATGGAATTTAGAGGAAAATGAAGCCAGTTAATGAAATTTAGTAAATAGTAGAGGCTGCATGATTGCAACGACATTTTGAAACCCGAAGAAGAGCCCTAATAAACATTAGCTGGCCATAAAATAAGCATTTAATAAATTGCAGATTCCAAATAATGAAGGTAGACTGTCATAAACCAAATAAGTCAAAGGAGAAGGTGAAACTACATAGTTTGCAGAAAAAAGAAGACAATTGACGACACTAGACCAATGCTAATTAAATTTGTAATTGCAGAAAAAATCTTGTAGTTAAAATATGCAGTACAAAATTGCTAGTTTGCCCCATAAAAAAATCATAACTTCATCGGTCAATCAAAAGAGGCCAAACTACGCTTAAAAAAAGGCTCAATAGGACTAGTTTTTAATCATTTTTACGACCATATTTAATTATGGCCGAACTTTCTATTATTTTTAATTCGAATTATTCTATTAGGTTCAATTATCTTCCTTCTGAATAGTATTAGATTTGAATGTGAAGGTTTCTTAAGATTGGGTAGGAATTAGATTTGCTTTCAAATAATTAGCCTTATCTTTGTGAACCTATTTCTATAAATAGATAACCATAGCTTGTAACTAATTACTATTGATTAATTAATGATAATTGAAATATGATTATTTGTGAGGCTAATTGAGAGTTCCTCATATCCAAGTTGTGCATCCTTATCTCCATGTGATCTAAGCTACGCTTATTCCATCAAAACTTTCCTTAGTGTGTGTGACCCATCTTTGGGATTCTTCTCACTCACTACCTACTTTGCATGTTATCATTGTAGCGGCATCTTTTGAGTCAACCCTTCTATGACCGACCGGCCAACACTGCATAACAGGCGAATCACACGCAACTTCTACCAACAACTTCCTTCTTTGACTAATATCATGATCTCTAGTCATCCGGATAATTCTTTGTTGTTAACTTCACCACAAATACTACCCACAAACAAAAATAGCCTTCCCCCAGCCATAGTTGTTCTATAATTGCCCTATACACTTACATCTCATTGTGACTAACACAAGAAATCCAACAAACTTAACTTCCATATACACTTCTAATATTTATCAAACTCTAATAGGTCTCTTCACGAACATCTTCTTAAGTGACAATAGCATCATATTGTCATAAACAAAGAGCATCAGCATATTATAAACGTAAATAATATTTTGCACCTCATGGAGATCATACTTATGGATGCCAATTTTATCCTTTCATATCTCAACACCCTTATGCATCTAATAAAAACAATGATTCCAATTATTTATATTTTTAAGATAATGCATCTTTTGAAAAACTCTCGTTGTGACTACCACAAGAAATCCAACAAACTTAGCTTCCATATACACTTCTACTATTTATCAAACTCTAATAGGTATCTTCACCAACATCTTCTTAAGTATCAATGGCATCATATTGTCATAAACAAAGAGCGTCAGCATATTATGAACATAAATAATATTTTATACCTCATGGAGATCATAATTGTGGATGCCAATTTTATCCTTTCATATCTCAACACCCTTATGCATCTAATAAAGACAATGATTCCAATTATTTATATTTTTATGATAATGCATCTTATGAAAAATCATGGATTCGTATTAATAAAGCTTTAATAAGCTACAACATGCGGCAATCCAACTCAAATATGCACTTTTGCAAAACTCAATGCAATCCACTACACAAGCTTCACAAATTCCTCTCACTACATAATTCTTAGAACTATTTTCCAATTCAACAAAAAAACCCAAGATTAATGATCATTTTCTATATGATGATGGTCCTAATAAAGACATTTATAATGACACTCATTTTTTTATGATGAATTAAACTTGAGGATAATTATGATATATAAATACCTAATTTTGTTTCTAAGCCTGAAGTTGATACTAAGATATTTTAGATAAAGCATATGTCTAATGAAGTACTAGATACTAAGAATATTGGCGAGCATGAGATAATATTTTCTTAAATTTTTGTATTGAGATATCTTTAGAAGTATCAAAGCCACTGTTGTTCTTCTCCAACTTTCTGTTGAGAATCGTACTTCTGTTCAATTTTCACTATCTTAGGAGCTGAATACTATATAAAATAATTATAGTTTGCTTTAGTCAAAACTATCGGAGATTGAATTTGTAATGTTGTCGCCATCATTGTCACCTAATCTACTATAAGACCACATAACAAATATCTTACAAGTGTATGAAGTTTGGAGCCGTCTAGCAATCAAGCCTTTATATCTTTGTATGTACATTTGAATTATTTCTCCTATTATTTTCTACTACATAGATGCTTGTTAGACCGGTCCACTGGACCGGTCCGGCCGGTCCGCTCGGGACCGGCAATTCGCGAAATATCGCGAGATCTCTGCCTCCTGCGGAGATCGGGCGGGCCAACCGCTCATGAGGAGCATTTTAGGAAGCTTTTTTTGGGGTTTTGAGAGGGAAATTTGAATGTAGGAACTGTTTAGGGATTTCCTTTTGATTTGTATGGATGAAATAGTTGATTTTCCTAGGGTTTGATCATCTTGAATTTGGCTGAAATTTGAGATCTCTTAGATTTAGGTTTTCTTTGGGCTCTAGCGGCGTCTAGAGATTTGGGAGAGATCGATCCTCCTCTCGAATTGAGGATCAATTGTATCTTGCTATTTTATTCATCGTCTAGTGGAATACAAATCTTGCTTTGAGTTTTCTTTCAAATTTCCTCCGAATTTCTGCTGTTAAACTGCTGTAAACATCAGTTTTACTATGTTCTCCTGCTGAGGACAGCAATCCAATCACTATTATCGCTGTTTTTCAGAAGATTTACAAGTGTTTTCTATCAATGCTTCATCCATCAAATGATCCAAAGATGCCACTTCCTCCTCCATGATCAACACCAAACTCTTCAACAAAAGAGTTTTTTGTTAGCCGAGTAAATTGATGCATTACAAATTAGCTAGCTTAAACAAAACCCAATTTTCATAAATCAAGCCAAAGGAGCCAATTTAGGCTATAATGAGGCAAAAACCGACCAATTTGAACACTTTTTAACCATATTTAATTATGGTCGAATTTTCTATTGTTTTTATTTGATTTCTTTTATTAGGTCATTTTATCTTCTTTTGAATAATATTGTGTTTGAATTTGGAAGTTCGATATGAACAAATAGGATTAGATTTCAAATAATGTTTTCATCTTTTTAACCCTATTTATACAAATAAAGAACCATAGTTTATAATTAATTCTTATTGGTTATTTGTGAGATCAATTGAATGTTCCTAAAATACATGTTGTGTATGCGGACTTCCTCCATCTTCTTTCTCTACCACAATAGATGAAGGATGATAAAGGGCACCATCTAGCCCAAAAGCAATTATTAGTTAGAAGTACTAGCAAATTAAGAGATTAATTTGTATATAAACTCATAAGGAAGTGGATGAGCAACCCAAATCTAAGTGGATGCAAACCATTGGCACAATCTTCATAACAAGTCATCATGTTTCACATGTAGAGCTAAGATTTACTTGCAATTAGAAAACCATCGAGGAACTAAGGATCTCCAACCGCATCATAACATTCGAGATGACAATTGCATTTGCTCAATAATTTTCCTAGTTGTTAGAAAGGGGACTAAACAAGATCCATTGGAAGAGGTAAATCCATATGGTATGTCTTAGAAGAGTCACTATGAATTTTCTACTTCTTCCAGCTCCACAACCCCCCCCCCCCCCCAAAAAAAAAAAAAAACCCCCACCCCCACACAAAACCAAAAGAAGCTAAAAAAATCAAGCCAAATCCTTCAAGAAAAAGTTGAATGCGCTGGTTCTCATCTAATTGGAGTAGTATCAATTGGTGCTTAGCTTGGGGTAACCAGCATCCATAAATATAACACGGTCTACAAGGAAGGTACATTTCTTAGTGTTGAGGTAACCAGCTCAGGCAATCTCCTCCTTTTCCAAACTAGTTCGTTCTTGAGATAGGGAATCCCCCTCATGTCCTTGTTAATATGTTGAGCTCGAAAAATTAACAATCCTTATTGAGATATTTGTACAACAATCTAAATCCACCAAGAAACCTGCTTTAATGTTAAGGATTCTAGCATCAATTGTTTGGTGATTAATAGCAAAAGAATGAGAAGCTTCTTATAAAACTACAAAAGAAGCTCGATGGCTGTATGTGGAGCCAAAGCAGTGGGGCACTCCAAGTTTAGAATAGGCAATAGTGAAGTATCAGTGGTAATGGGCATTTCCTTATCACAACTATCCTCCCTCTAAAGCGACTGCTTGTTCTTCCACCTATGTTGAATCTATGATGAACAATAGCTGAGCTAAATAAGTGCTTTTTTTGCCAATTAGATAATTCTTCCACCTATGATGAACCATTAAATGCATAAATGTAATGGCAAAATTGAATCGACCTAGTCTAGGGGCCCAGTGGTACCATGATGTTAGCAACTGACTTTATCTTCACCAAAAGTTATTTCAAAAAATCCACCAACCGCAATCCAGATCAGCAACAGTATTGTTGTTGCAGCAAAGGCATCAAACGTTGAAACAAGACGGTTATCCAAATCACGCGAATAATTCGCCATTAACTGGTTAAAAATCAACCAAGCGAAGACGATCGGCAAGTCAGAAGGTAAGGTACTCCAACAGAATAACATCTCGAACGCCAAAAAAACCGGAATGCCTATTAAACTTTTTAAGGAAAACCCTGCCTATATATCCACGACAAGGAATTGTAATAGCGATTCTTCATAAAATGCTAAGCAAAACGTTTTATTCTCTCTGAAACCTCAGTAAATTCAAAAACCAGGCCTTTTGCATGGCCTAATTAAGGAAATACCAAGCAGTATCGTAGCAAACTAACCTGGATCTTGATGGCGGCAGAGGTCTCCTGCCGAAGGGCTAGCCGCCGCTTCCGCTCAGCTCGCGCCTGATCAAGAACCACCTGCCGGTCACTCTCCCTGGAGCTACGTCCCCCCAAGTTCACTCTCCTGCGCGAGGTCGGGTCCCCGCTGAAGAACATCCTTCAATCGAATTCGGCAGCCGCACCCTACCAACCTTCTGCCGCTAAATCCACTGCCATGCGAAGGGCCGCCACAGGCAATAAAGAACCTACACCACCCGGCAATGGCCTCCTGCTGTACAAAATAAAGTAGAAATAATATAGGTGGAAGCGAAAAGGCATTTGACGCGAGGGAGTTGCTTTTCTAGGTCTTCCGAGAGCGGTCAAGCACTGCGAACTATCGTCCTGTTTTTTTGCCCTTTAGTTTTCCTGAATTTGCAGAAATGTCATTTTTCCTTCGGGATAGTCGGTGTGATGCAGCGTGAGGTGTGACGCCGATTTAAGTGCATAAAAATATTACATATGCTATTCGCATGGATTAATTATTTTATTCTGATCCCAACAATTATTTGGAGATTAATTAGAATTTGTCACGTTATCTCTTCGCTCAGTACCGTGGCTCGATACAACTCGATGCAGCAGCTTGCCGGGCTTGGTACAACTGATGTGATGTATTCTGGCTAGTCTCCGAATGACGTTCTTCATCCGACCTCCTCATAGAATAATCACTCATCCGTATGACCTCTTATTTTATTTTTCATAAGTTGGTGTTTGTTAAAGTTGCATATTTTAAATATTTTAGATGTGAGATTTAGCAGAAATTATTAAGCGTAGGGTATGGATGTAACGTGTGTCAAGACTTCTTTCAGAATATGCAACATCAATTGTACATAATGTATGTGCATATTATACATAAACTGTGTACAATTTATATATTGTGTATAAGCGATGTGATCTGTTTTGATTGAAGGCATTTAGATGTAAGATCCATTCTGAACTACTACCATTTTTTTCAAATATGGCTATTGATACGACATCACAAAAATTATCTTGATCGTGCACGAATCTCGAGGCAAAAGCTAGTTGGAAACTTCAAAAATTAATTTTAGATGTTTTGTTCCGCTGCATTTGATGTTTCATAGTAGCTCTGTGTGTCTGTGTTTGAGTTGAAATATTTGGAAGATTCAGTTCCGAAGCAAATTCTAAAGCCAGATCCTGGTCAGTCAGTTTGTTCGTTCCAGTCGCGACCCGATGCGAGCGGGATCCGTCCCGGATCGGGTCGGGTCGTGACACAAACAGTCTCCGATTTTAACGAGCTTATACTCGAATCGAGCGGCTCGACGAGACGAATCCAACGAGCCCAAGATCGCCAAATTACGACATCATTTAAGGCCTCCAAATGTCCAACGAACGGTGCACGATTGAAGGGTTCAATATCGGCCGTCCATTCAAAACCACTCCCTATTCGCCCATGATCTCACACCTATTTAAGAGCTATGCCACTCCAGAAAAACTTTAAATAAAGCCCTCATTCTACACAAAGGGGACTCAAGTGAATAGAGAGAAGGAGAAGATAAGAAGGAGGAGAAGGAAGAAGCTCCTCCTCGACCACCGCCGGAGCTCTTCCTGCCATCTGAAGACGCCGGAACTCTGCTGAATTTTCGGGAAACGTCAGGAATTTGCTGAACTTTGTAACTTTATGAGAAATTGATTGTAAATTGATCGTCTTGATTTGTAAGATGGATCAACCTTTGTACTTCATCAAATACTAGTGGAACTTTACAACTGGGCGAGGCCCCGTGGTTTTTTCCCTTTTTGGGTTTTCCACGTAAAAACTCTGGTGTTCATTTCTCTTTTCTGTTTGTGTGCGGAATACTCGTGCAACGCTAAGACGAATATTTTCCAACTCTACTGCCACGTATATTCTAGCACGCAACAGTTTGGCGCCGTCTGTGGGAAAATGATTCTCGACTGGGGGGGCAACTTTTGCTCCAATCTCAAAAGATCGCTCTTATCAACTTTCTGACATCAGTTTTTGTTGCATCAGATGCGAACTGGGGGCAACTTTGACCCCAATTCTGGTCAAAAAGATCCTCTGATGCCTTCTATATCAAGATGATATTTCAGGAAAATCCCAGCGACAACAAGGATACTTCCAATCAATTATAAGCTTTATACAGTCGTTTACTGGACTTCTACTCCTTAGGCAAGGTCTTAATCTCGAGCTTAAAAAGGTAGTAACGGCCAAAAAATAGACCATTTTTCACCTTTGATTCGGGATACACGCGGCGTTTGCCCCCTCGCAATCACGGTAAAATTGATCCTAGGGGGATCCGATTCGACCTCTTCCATACAAGTTAACGTCATCGAGCAAAGACTCTGACATACAACCTCGGATAGGTCTCACATCCTTGGTGGATTCTCTCGACCTCTTCCACACAGGTTTACGTTGTCGAGCAAAGGCTCCGTCATACAACCTCGGATAGGTCTTACATCCTTGGTGGATTCTCTTGACCTCTTCCACACAAGTTAACGTCGTCGTGCAAAGGCTCCGACATACAACCTTGGATAGGTCTCACATCCTTGGTGGATTCTCCCGACCTTTTCCACACAAGTTAACGTCGTCGAGCAAAGGCTCCGACATACAACCTCGGAAAGGTCTCACATCCTTGGTGGATTCTCCCGACCTCTTCCACACAGGTTAACGTCGTCGAGCAAAGGCTCCGACATACAACCTCGGATAGGTCTCACATCCTTGGTGGATTCTTCCGACCTGTTCCACACATGTTAACGTCGTCGAGCAAAGGCTCCGACATACAACCTCGGAAAGGTCTCACATTTTTGGTGGATTCTCCCGACCTCTTCCACACAGGTTAACGTCGTCGAGCAGGGCTCCGACATACAACCTCAGATAGGTCTCACATCCTTGGTGGATTCTCCCGACCTTTTCCACACAGGTAAACGTCGTCGAGCAAAGGCTCCGACATACAACCTCGGATAGGTCTCACATCCTTGGGGGATTCTCTCGACCTTTTCCACACAAGTTAAAGTCGTCGAGCAAAGGCTCCGACATACAACCTCGGAAAGGTCTCACATCCTTGGTGGATTCTCCCGACCTCTTCCACACAGGTTAACGTCGTCGAGCAGGGCTCCGACATACAACCTCGGATAGGTCTTACATCCTTGGTGGATTCTCCCGACCTCTTCCACATAGGTTAACGTCGTCGAGCAAAGACTCTGACATACAACCTTGGATAGGTCTCACATCCTTGGTGGATTCTCTCGACCTCTTCCACATAGGTTTGCGTCGTCGAGCAAAGGCTCTGTCATACAACCTCGAATAGGTCTTACATCCTTGGTGGATTCTCTTGACCTTTTCCACACAGGTTAACGTCGTTGTGCAAAGGCTCTGACATACAACCTCGGATAGGTCTCATATCCTTGGTGGATTCTCCCGACCTTTTCCATACAGGTTAACGTCGTCGAGCAAAGGCTCTGACATATAACCTCGGAAAGGTCTCACATCCTTGGTGGATTCTCCCGACCTCTTCCACACAGGTTAACGTTGTCGAGCAAAAGCTCCAACATACAACCTTGGATAGGTCTCACATCCTTGGTGGATTCTCCCGACCTTTTCCACACAGGTTAACATCGTCGAGCAAAGGCTCCGACATACAACCTCGGAAAGGTCTCACATCCTTGGTGGATTCTCCCGACCTTTTCCACACAAGTAAACGTCGTCGAGCAAAGGCTTCGACATACAACCTCGCAAAGGTCTTACATCCTTGGTGGATTCCCTCGACCTCTTCCACACAGGTTAACGTTGTCGAGCAGGGCTCCGACATACAACCTCGGATAGGTCTCACATCCTTGGTGGTTTCTCCCGACCTCTTCCACACAGGTTAACGTCGTCGAGCAAAGGCTCCGACATACAACCTCGAATAGGTCTCACATCCTTGGTGGATTCTCTCGACCTCTTCCACACAGGTTAATGTCATCGAACAAATGTTCTGACATACAACCTCGAATAGGACTTCTACCCGACGTTGAACTTCTACCCGACATCGGACTTCTTCCTGTCGTCGGACTTCTGCTCGTCAGTGGACTCCTCGTCTTCGGACTTCTGCTCGTCGACGAACTTTCCTCAGTCTTCTACCCGACGTTGAACTTCTACCAGACATCGGACTTCTTCCTGTCGTTGGACTTCTGCTCGTCAGCGGACTCCTACTCGTCGTCGGAATTTTGCTCGTCGATGAACTTTCGTCGGTCTTCTACCTGACGTTGAACTTCTACCCAACGTCAGACTTCTCCTTGTCGTCAGACTTCTGCTCGTCAGCGGACTCCTACTCGTCGTCAGACTTCTGCTCGTCGACGAACTTTCATCGGTCTTTTACCCGACGTTGAATTTCTACCCGACATTGGACTTCTTCCTGTTGTCGGACTTCTGCTCGTCAGCGGACTCCTACTCGTCGTCGGACTTCTGCTCGTCGATGAACTTTCATCGGTCTTTTACCCGGCGTCAGACTTCTCCTTGTCGTCGGACTTCTGCTCGTCAGCGGACTCCTACTCGTCGTCGGACTACTGCTCGTCGACGAACTTTCATCGGTCTTCTACCCGACGTTAAACTTCTACCCGACGTCGGACTTCTTCCTGTCATCGGACTTCTGCTCGTCAGTGGACTTCTACTCGTTGTCAGACTTCTGCTCGTCGATGAACTTTCGTCAGTCTCCTACTCAACGTCGTACTTCTACACAACGTTGGACTTCTATCGTACTTCTACTCGTCGTCAGGAATTCTGACCGTCGATGGAATTTCGTCGGTCTTCTGCCCGACGCCGTACTTCTACTCGTCGTCAGAATTCTGACCGTCGACGGAATTTCATCGGTCTTCTGCCCAATGCCGTATTTCTACCCGACGCTAGATTTCTGCAGTTCAACAGATCTCTCCAAAGTCGGGGGGAAGGAGGAAAAATTCCGTAAGCTTCTGCACGCGAGGAGAGGCGCTAATTCGAGCAGGAGAAATTTCCCGCTCGCAAATAGCGGAAGCCTAAACCGTCAAAAAGCCGGAGTGAGGAGAAGAAATCCTGTAAGCTTCTACACGCGAGGAGGGGCGCTAATTCGAGCAGGGGAAATTTCTCGCTCGCAAATAGCGGAAGCCTCAACCGTCAAAAAGCTGGAGGGAGGAGAAGAAATCTCGTAAGCTTCTGCACGCGAGGAGGGGCGCTAATTCGAGCAGGGGAAATTTCCCGCTCGCAAATAGCGAAGCCTAAACCGTCAAAGAGCAGAAGGGAGGAGAAGAAATCCCGTAAGCTTCTACACGCGAGCAGGGGCGCTAATTCGAGCAGGGAAAATTTCCCGCTCTCAAATAGCGGAAGCCTCAACCGTCAAAAAGCCGGAGGGAGGAGAAGAAATCCCGTAAGCTTCTGCACGCGAGGAGGGGCGCTAATTCGAG